CATGCTCAGTTGCTTCGGTCATGTTCAACTCTGCGACCCCATGGACTGTAGCCCGCCAGGCTCCTCTGCCCATGGGATTCTCCAGGCAGGAATACTGAAGTGGGTAGCCATTCCCTTCTCCAGGGGATTTTCCCCATCCAGGAATCGAACCCAGGTCTCCTGCATTACAGGTGATTTCTTTACCACTGAGCCACTGGGGAAGCCCGTGTGTGTGTGTGTGTGTGTGTGTGTGTAGTTGCAAAGAAACAGGTATTTCCTGTGTGGGGTGAGGTCAAGAAAGTTTCAAAGTCATTATTTTGGCATGTCTTCTCGAACTATAGCTTTTCAGTCTTTGCAAAACTGAAATCTGTTTCCCACCCTCCTTTACAGATGGGATCCCAGTGGGGTTCTCTCGCTAGTGGTAAAGAACCCGCCTGCCAATGCAGGAGATGTAAGAGACAGGGGTTTGATCCCTGGGTCAGGAAGATCCCCTGGAGGAGGGCATGGCAACCCACTCCAGTATTCTTGCCTGGAGAATCCCATGGACAGAGGAGCCTGGAGGGTCAGAGTCCAGGGGGTCACACAGAATCAGACACCCCCGAGGCGATACACTTAGCACGGACATGTGCAATTTGGAAAGTGGAAGTAGAGTTGCAGTTTTGTTGCTTCTATTTCTGTTGGTAAGCAGTGTCCTGAAAGCCCAATCACCATGTACAGCCGTGCAAGGTAGGGACGCTCTGCCCTTCACCTGGGGATGCATTATTCACGCCATGCTATGGACCACTTCCCCTAGAGGTGAGCCCTGCAGTAGCCCTGCTGGAGGTGCGGGGATCTCAGTATTAGGGGACTAATTTTTTGGGAGTTGAAAGGCCAAGCCTGGGCATCCATGTTTTTTGGGGGCAAGTCTCCCACATGCAGCCTGGCTCTGGTTGCAGAGGCATCTTTCTCATCCGTGGACACAGCTAAGATAGTGCATCCTGAGAGCCAGCAGTTTGAATGGTGCTTCCCAATTTCTTACCTTCCTGATTATCCCAGAGCCGAGCTCCCTGGTTAAGGCATTTCTGGACCCTCATTCCTGGAGGTCCTCTCCTCTAGTACTTCGGACTCATTCCCTGTATTAAATATCTCCTGGCTTAAGATATCTAAGGAATTTTCTTTTATCTGTAATCAAATCCTAACTGAGAGGGCACCCAGTTCAGGTTACATTAGTTCTTTTTAAATTAGATCAACTTAGAGTTTCATATTTCTTTTTCTTTCAAACTTTAAACTTTTTATTTTGTATTGGGGTATCAGTTCAGTTCAGCTGCTCCGTCATGTCTGACTCTTTTCAACCCCTTGGACTGCAGCACGCCAGGCTGCCCTGTCCATCACCAACTCCCAGAGCTTGCTCAAACTCATGTCCATCAGGTCGGTGATGCCATCCAACCATCTCATCCTCTGTTGTCCCCTTCTCCTCCTGCCTTCAATCTTTCCCAGCATCAGGATCTTTTCCAATGGGTCAGTTCTTCGAATCAGGTGGCCAAACTATTGGAGATTCAGCTTCATCATCAGTCCTTCCAATGAATATTGAGGATTGATTTCCTTTAGGATGGACTGGTTTGATTTCCTTGCAGTCCAAGGGACTCTCAAGAGTCTTCTCTAGCACCACAGTTCAAAAGCATCAATTCTTTGGCGCTCAGCTTTCTTTATAGTCCAAATCTCACATCCATACATGACTACTGGAAAAACCATAGCTTTGACTAGATGGACATTTGTTTGCAAAGTAATGTCTGTGCTTTTTAATATGCTGTGTAGGTTGGTCATAGTTTTCCTTACAAGGAGCAAGCATCTTTTAATTTCATGGCTGCAGTCACCATCTGCAGTGATTTTGGAGCCCAAGAAAATAAAGCCGCTCATTGTTGCCATTGTTTTCCCATCTATTTGCCATGAGGGGATGCCATAATCTTAGTTTTCTGAATGTTGAGTTTTAAGCCAGCTTTGAAGTCATATGTATAAATGTAACCAACCCTCACTCCCATCCAGGTTGGCACATAACATTGAGAAGAGTTCCATGTGCTAAACAGGTCCTTGTTTGTTATCCATTTTGAATATCGCAGTGTGTAGGTGACCTTATCTACCCATTACTCAGATTGCACACAAAGAAAGACCTAGAAACTGACTCAGAAGCAAGAAAACTTTTTTTTAGATGTGTAGGAGTGATGATGAAAAGATTGCAAACTCCTATTTTGTTTTTTTAATCCCTATTGTTATAAACAACAACAAAAGACAACTCATAGTTTTATGGTACTTAATCAGGATTTATGTGCCCCCTCCAGATCCACTCTAGCCAGAATTTGGAGGGGAGCAGAGGGCATCAGGGGAGAGAGGAGTGCTTGGCCCTGGGGACCCCACAGCCCCGCTTTCTCCCACTCTGCCAGCTTGGGACGACAGGCTGTCCACATTCCTAGGTTCATGCCTCCTTCCTCACAACAAAATTACCCAGGCCTCTGCTCTGGTCATCATGTCCCCTCTTTCTGACTCGGTCCTTCCTTTCTCCCTCTTATAAGGACATTGTGACAACATTGCCCTCCCCCGCACACAATATTCCAGGATAATCTCCCCATTTCAAGACCCTTGACAATCACATCTGCAAAACCCCTTTGGCCATGTCAGGTGACATACTCACAGGTTTTGAGGATTAGGGTGTGGACCGCTTTGGGGTTATTCTGTCTACCACATGTTTGGTCCCGAGGGAGCTGGCCTTGGGACGCAAAGCTGATGGCTGGAGTCTGATGCAATTCTCCCAAACATACTGCCTGTTCAAGTGGAAACACTTGGCTGGGATATCTTCTTACTGCTGAGCATCTTCCCCTTTGGTCACAAACTCAGCCTGCTTCCAGTGCCCCATCATTCCCTCCTGCAAGCCCCAAGTCTTCAGGAAGGAGCTGAGACCAGAGAGAATGCAATTCCGCCTCCTGGGATTTCCCTGGTGGTCCAGTGGCTAAGACTCCAAGCACCCAAGGCAGGTGGCCTGGCTTCAATCCCTGCAGGGAACTAGCTCCCCTATACCTCAACTAAAGATCCCGTGTGCAAGTAAGACCCAGTGCAGCCAAATAAATGAATAAGCAAGTATTTTAAAACATTCTACCACCAGGTATCTGTCTGTTTAGGTAATTGTTACTGAGCCCTTGCTCAGCTTCTGCTTGAGATGCTAGGAAAACTGTGGAAGACCAGACAGATAGCATGGAGTTTGCATGCTTGTGGGCATGTCATGAAACACCCCATTAAGTAAACAAACAAAAGAAAGCTAAGTATACAAATGCATACGTAAGACAAGAAAGGATATTGATAGAGTTATATATAAAGATGATAATTTGATATGAGAGGTTAGGGGTTAGCAACCATTTTATTTAAAGAGCCAGATGATAAATATTTCAGATTTCCTACACCATGTCTGAACTACTCACATTTACCATCATAGCAAAGGAAGTCTGAGACTACTTAAATAGGTGTATCAAAGGTCCAATAAAACCTATTCATGGAAACAAGGCTGATCTGGCCCGCAGATTGGAGCTTGCTGACTCCTGTGATAGAGGAGAAGTAGGTGGGAATGGGAATTTTAGGTAGAGTGGTCAGGGAAGTCTTCTCTGAGGAGGTGATGTTTGAGCTAACGTCCCAATGATGTGAAGAAGCCGGCCGTGCTTGAAGGAAGAGTGTTCCAGGATGTGGGAATTAGCAAGAGCATCACCTTGAGGTGCAAACCAGCCTCTGGGGAGCTTAAGCCCATGCAAGTGAGGGAGAGGCTGACTCCATCAGGAATTTGTAACCCAGGCAGGAAAGAGATCTCAAAGGGATAACTTAGGAGAGTTTAATGAAGGCATGGGAAGGCGGGGGGAGGATTTGGTGAAGGGAAGGATGGGGACATCCCCAAAGACCTGTACCAGGTAGATTGGTACCTCTGGGAACGAAGCAGGAACTGCGGCCACAGGACAGGGGTCACCCAGAGCAAGGAACGCGGGCCTTTGCAAGGAGGTCTCCCAGACCAACATCCTGACCCCTCTCCCCACTCCCACATTAGACCTCCTGCCAGCGCATGCTTTTGGCTGAGTCCAGCCAGAGGTCAGAGGTCAAGGGAGCCAGAGTGACAGAATCTCTAAAGGTCAGATGCCTGGGAAAGAGAGCAGGTGAGAGAAGGGCAGAAAATGACCTGGAGGGGGATGCCAAGCCCCCAGGGTAAGGAGTTACGACGGCATTATACTTTCAATAGGGACGAAGTGGCCATAAACTATGATTACCCATCAATTTGAGTTTCAGATAAACAACAAATATGGGTCTCGTGTAAGTATCTTCAGGATACCTCTAAGTAAGTATCTTCAGGATGTACTTATACAAAACCTGTATTGGTGTTCATCCGAAATTCAAATTGAACCAGGTATCCTGTACATTTATTTGCAAAACTTGGCAACCCTAGGTTGGAAACCCCTGAAGGAACCGGAAGGAAAGGAATAACAATCTAATTTAGAATTTAATAAATACAATATATTTATAAAATCGAGAAAATTTTAATGACTATAAATAAACCCAGAGGATTCAGGAACATATAGATAAGTTCCATGGGCATTTCAGACACAATCAGGGTTCAAAGTCTCCAACTACGGGGGACAGCAGCCAATGCAGCGGGCAGCCTGGACAGATGCCCCCCGACTTGCCCAGAGGAAGCTTGTCTGCACTGTGCATCATGCTTTTCTGTTTATCCAGGCCTTTGCTGCCCAACGTCTCATTCCATTCTTACTACGTTTCCATGTACAAGCAGGTCACATTAATTGTTGCTATGCAGTCCTTGTTCAGATATAGAAACCAAGGCTCAGAGAGGGGAAGCAATCTACCCAAGGTCACACAGGGAGGCAGCAGAGGGGCCAAGGTTACAGCTCAGGTCTGGGCTACGCCAGAGCTCTTTCCCCTCCATCTCACTGCTCCGTGTCCTTCCAGGCGTCCAGCAGGCCTGTCCACCTGTGCAGGGCGCTTGCTGCCCGGCCTGGGGGTCAAGAGCAGGAGGAAGCATCTTGCGGCTGCGCCGGCTGGCCTCGGTGCCTGTCATATCTTCGCTGGAGGCGGGCATGAAGGTGGCGGACCCTCCTGGCCTCCTGGGTCCTGAAGAAGGAGGCAGCGATGCTGTGCCGCAAGCGGCGGGCATAGGTCTCCAGGAGGACTGTGGAGCAAGCCGCGAGCTGCAGGGCGCCCGCAGCTAGGGGCGCAGCTGTGTGCGGGCGCTGGGCGGGCAGCAACGGGCAGCCGGGGGCAGTGAAGCGCAGCTCCCACTGGAAGGAGTTGTGGGCAGAGAGGTAGGGGTTCTCCGGAGGCGGCTGGTTGAAGAGGAAGGGGATGTAGCCCAGGACGGTGTAGGCAGCCTTCAGAAAGGAGGGAAAGGTCAAGTCAGCAGACACCCCAGCTGTTCCCTCCCCCACAAACAGGTGCTTGTGGGGCTGGACCGGTCCACCTTTCCCTGCCCGCGTGTCTGCTAACTGGGCGTAGAAGTAACCCTTACCTCCTGGGCTTGAGGAGGGCTGAATTAGATCAGGAATCAGGCTTTTTGCCGAATGAAAAGCACTAGACAAATGCTACTTTTTATTATTATTACTCTCTTTGCAGAGAATGCTTTAGAGAAAGCCAATTCATGCCTACAGGCATTTTTCTCTCCTCTGAGCCCTTCGTGAATACTTCAGACATTCTAATCCATCAAATAAGCACGGTTGTATGAGGCTGATTCTATCAGGAGCCTCATTTAAAAGATGGGAACCGAAGGTCACGCTGAGGGTGACACGCAGCCCCCCGAGGGGTCAACCCCAGCGAGGGTGGGTCCCAATGTCCTGCTTCTATTAATACGTATGTGCATGCTCAGTCATGTCTGATTCTTTTGCCACCCCATGGACTGTAGACCACCAGGTCCTCTGTCCATGGAATTTTCCAAGCAAGAATACTAGAGTGGGTTGCCCTGCCCTCCTCCAGGGGATCTTCTTGACCCAGGGATCAAACTCACGTCTCTTATGTTTCCTGCATTGGCAGGTGGGTTCTTTAGCACTAGTGCCACCTGGGAAGCCCATATAGAATAAGCACTCAATAAATATTAACTACTAATATTATTAGCTCAGAGTCTGATACTTTGGCATGTTTTACACAATGGACTTCTGGGTGAGATCTCACCATTAAAGAGAAAAAGATTTGTGGCCAAAGAGATTAAAAATCACAAAACTAGATGAGATAGTAAATTTTTCTGATAGTAAATAGCTGGTATTTTATATATCACTATTAAAATAGTAAATATTTTAGGCTTTGCAGGTCATACAATTCCTCTTGCAAATATTCAACTTCGTAGAGCTGGCATAGATAATACACGGACATGGCTAATTTGAATTCAATAAAACTCAATTTATAAACACAGCACACTGGCAGAATTGGCCTGTGGCTATTGTTGGTGGACTCCTGATCTTGACCATTGGTAAGGTCACCTCTAGTCTATTATCTATAGATGTGAGCTATTAATAATAGCCACTATCTATTAAACATCTCCTATGTGGCATGGAGCCTACTAGATACTTCTAGAGACAACCACTTTTTAAGGCTCTTGGTACTCTTGTAGGGTAAGGAGGATTGATCCAGCTTGTACACATGAGAAAAATGAGGCTGGGACATGATGTCACGTGTGTAGAGTGACTTTGGGGGGCAAGTTATTGTGAATGTCTCTGGGTGATAAGGAGTGAAAACAGAACCCACTGCCTTAGTCTGTCCTGAGAATTAAATGCGTTCATCTGCCAAAGCCTCTGGATCCCATGCTTATCCAAGGACAAAGACTTGCAGGCAAGTAAAATTCATTCTGAGTCAAGGATTTAACAAACCCTATCCTTTCCCTTGGGCTCCGTGGTGGCTCAGACGGTAAAGCGTCTGCCCGCAGTGCGGGAGGCCTGGGTTCAGTCCGCGGGTCGGGTGGATCCCCTGGAGAAGGACATGGCAACCCACTCCAGTACTCTTGCCCAGAAAACTCCATGGATGGAGGAGCCTGGTGGGCTACAGTCCACAGGGTCGCAGAGGGGCTTCCCTGGTGGCTCAGACGGTAAAGAACCTGCCTGCAATGCAGGAGGCGCAGGTTCGATCCCTGGGTCAGGAAGATCCCCTGGAGAAGGAAATGGCAACCCACTCCAGTACTCTTGCCTGGAGAATCCCAAGGACAGAGGAGCCTGGGAGGCTACAGTCCATGGGGCCGAAAAGAGTCAGACGCGACTGAGCAACTAAACAACAGCAATCCTGTCCATCAAGGAGATGACTCCGTTCACACCTTCTGGTCACAGCACTTACACTGTACTTGATGGTGAGCGTGATGGGCACAGCGGGCAGCTCCCGAGCCCAGTCCACGGCTGCCTGAGCCAGGAGGAAGGCCACGTAGTCCGTGGCCACCGTCACCGCCGTGGCCGTCAGGAGCAGGGTGAACAGCCCCAGCCTCACCAGACAACTCAGCAGCTCCGCCTGGGACAGCCTTGGCCGGGCTGCCCAGAGCAGCCAGGCTGGAGGGGAGGCCGTCAGGTGGGTGGCCCTGACCTCTGCCAGCCGCTGAGTCAGCTGCCGGGTGGCGTAGACGTTATCAAACCGCAGGTCGGCCAGGTAGCGGCGGAGGTACCAGGCCGGGCCCAGCAGGAGGCCCAGCGTAAAGAGCCCGGTGGCCGCCCTCTGGGCCCCCAGTGCCACCGCCCGCACCGAGGACTCCAGGCCGGAGAAGTCCTCCAGGACCTGCTGGGCGGCCTTGAGCACGTGGAGCCGGAAGGCGGCGGCGCTGTCGCCCTGGGCCTGGAGCGTCAGGCCCTGGCTGCCCGCCTGGCCGTCTGGGCCCAGAGCCTGCGATGCTGCCTGCAGCCGGTGAGTGGTGTTGAGCAGACTCTCCAAGGAGCCCTCCGTGACGCACCTCAGCACCTGCCCAGCGGCACGCAGGTTGGCCAGGACGTTGGGCACCACGGCGACGGTCAGGGTGGCGGTGCTCCAGGACAGGAGAAGCCGGCGGCCCTGCTCCGTGCCCAGCGTGGGCACGCTGAGCGCAAGCAGGCAGCGGGCGGGGGGCACCAGGCCCAGCCCCAGGAAGGCCAGGAGGCCGCAGGCAGTGGCCACCGCGGCCGAGGGCCCGAGAGGATAAAGCAGCGAGGACGCCAGCCAGCAGTAGGTCAGACTCGCGGCAGCAAGGGCCAGAGAACCACACAGGAGGACCTGGGTCAGCAGCTGGCCACGGCTGGCTGGGACGGGCTGGGAGTAGGCAATCCAGGTGGCCTGCAGCAGGGCAACGGCCTTGTGGAGCCCCGAGGACCAGAATCTCCACCTGTACACAGGTAAATGGGGGAACCTCTATCAGGAGGGTAGGAGGGTTGCCTGTTTCCCCCGTGCTCCCGTCCTTAAACGTGCTTCAGCTGTTAACAGGCTCCACCCGCTTAGCTACAGAGGTGGCCACACCTCCCAATTGGTGGGCCAATCAGAGTAACCCACCCCAAACCCATATGACCCAAGCTGAGCCAATCAGAGCCTTCCCCAGGACTATTCTCACTGAGTTGTCAGGAGAAGAACTCAGATTACTGAGGATGTGTATCTGGGCTGTTCGTGACTTGTGAGGGCAACTGGTGCAGGGGAATGAAAGAGTCACGGAGAGAGAAGCACAGATGAAAGAAAAAATGCACGGGGAAGGATGGAACCCAGGTCTCCCACGTTGCAGGCAGATTCTTTACCATCTGAGCCATCAAGGAAGTCCCAGCGAGAGGTGCTGTTTCACTTGACTTCTTAGTCTTGGCCAGTTCACTGTGTGACCCTGGACATTCCTTCTATATGGACCTCAGTGTGTCCTCTATAATTTACAGGATGGGGAGAGTGGACCAGCTGATCTGAGGAAAATTGCTCCCTTATTATACTCTTATTTATTCAGTCGACAAACATCTGTTAAGCAGTTACTATGCGCTAGTCATTGGAGAAACAGGAGTGAATAAAACAGAGGAGAACTTCTGACCTCATAGAGCCTGAAGCATGATATCATTGAAGCATGATAGCAGAGAACTAGTAAGAGGACCCGGGTTCTGGATGTGTTTTCTGGAAGAACCAACACGACTGGCAGACTGGTTGGCTGTGGGTGGGAGAGAAAGAACGGGGGAGTCAGCATGACAGGGAGGTTTTGTGCCTGATGAGCTGAAAGCCTTGAGGTGGTGTTTCCTGAGATGGGAAACCTGTTGTTGAAACAGCCTTGAGTGGAGGGGGCAGAGGGGAAACTGAGACGCCGATTCAGCCATTTGGCGGAACTGCTGTGTGTGATTGAAAACGCAGTCTGGAATTCAGAGAGACCAGGCGGGAGATAGAAAGCTGGGAGTCATGGATTGATGGATGGTCTTTAAAGATGGGGAAGATGAGACTCTTTAAGACCGTGTGTAGCCAGGAAGGAGAGAGCTCCGAGGACAGACCCTCGTGGCACTCCAGAGGTCCTGGGCTGGGAGGTGAGGAGGAGACTGAGAGCAAAGGAGACAGAACCAGGCCAAGTGGGGCTGGGGAAGCCAAGCCACTGAAGTGTTTCAAGAAGAAGGGAGAGATCCAGTGTGCCAAGTGCTGCGGGCGGGTCAAGAAAGATGAGGGCTGAGCAAAGACCGTGGGATTTAGCCACCTGGAGGTCACTGGTGATGTGGACAAGGGCAGCTTGGAGGCATGTTGGGCCAAAACCTAGCTAGAGTGGACCCACGGGAGACTGGACAGAGAAGAACATGAGATATAAGTGCAGACAGCGGTTTCAGGTCATTTGTGCAGTAACGGGGCTGAGAAACGGTATAGTAGCTGATGTGGGAAATGGGACCAAGTTTGTTTAAGCTGGAGAAACTCTAGCGTGTTGGCAGATGGAGGGTCCAATCAAGAGTGGAGGCAGTGATGAAGGGGAGGGTCCCTGGGGTAATATCCTTCAGTGGGTGGCAGAGCATGGAAGCTAGGGCTGGTCTTAGAAAGGAGCAGGGGCCATTCATCCTCAGTAGTAGGTTGGATGGCAGAGAAAATGGGCACAGGTGATGATGAATGGACAGACAAGGTGTGGGCACATATGTATCAGCATCATCTGATCTACACAGAACAGAGCAATAATTAAGTGTGTGACCTCCAGACTGCTTGGGTTAAAATCCCCACTTCACCACTCACCATCTGTGTGACCTTGGGTAAGTTTCTTAACTTCTACATGCCTCAATTTCCTCATCTGTAAAATGGTCCAACAGAAGTGTACCTCACAGGGTCATTTTGTGTCTGGTACATAGCAAGTACTATGTCAGCCATGATCTATCATGAGAGCATCAATTTCACCAGTGTAGGGACTTGGTCTCTTTTGATCACTGATATACGCCAAGTACCTAAAATAGTGTTTGATGTATAGTGGGTGCTCCGTAAATATTTGTAGACTCTTACATGTTTGTTTCTGTTTGTCCAAGGTAGCAGGAAGCCAGATCAGCATTGATGGTGAGAATGCTGCAAGAGATGATGGAAAGTTGAAGATGGAGAAGAAGGTGTAAAATGTTTGTCCAGGAAAGTCAGTGAGTAAATGAACTAGGGAAGTTATATACATGCTGGGCAGTATTGAGGACCCACTTGAGGATAGGGATGATGAATTACGGTCTTCCCAGCCCCTGATGGCATTTTAATTTGGGACTAAGCTTTCTATTGTATAATTTATATTCAGAACATGATAGCTGTTAAAATGATAGCTAATCATTTAAATGATATTGGAATGGAAAACCGGTTATAAGTCATATTGTGTACCATGGTGTGCATTGAATGTTGTAAATGATAAGGAATCAGCTGCCATTCACTGGGTGTTTACTCTGAGCCAAGCACAATGGCAAGCAGTAAGTGTGCATTTTCTCATTCAGCTCTCACAACAACAGTCTCACAGACATTATTATTACTCCCATTTTACAGCCTAGGAAAGTGAGGCTTACAGAGGTGAAGATTTCCCCGAGGTCACAGAGCCAGACAACGGCAGAGCTTGAGACCTAGGCTCATACCCATCAGGCTCATTGATGGTTTTCTTGCCTGTGGCCCCCAAAGTCCCCAGACCTACCCGGTCCTGATGAGGTGTTCAAGTGTGCCCCCGGGGGGCCTCATGCTTCCTGAACGGCAGCAGATCTGGGCAGGCGGACTCAGGCAGCGATGGCAGGTAGAGGGGAAGTGGGGGGAATTGCGTCCTCCAGGACTTGGGAAACCCTGTCACTTCTGCTTTTCTGCCCTTAATCAAGTGCTCCTGATGGCCTTGTCCCGCCCTGCCTGGGTCCACCTCCCAGGGGGCTGGGCAAGCTGCCTCATCCTCTTCTGGCCAGCGGGAGTTGGTGGAAGGTGTGGGAGGAGAGAAATGGTCTTTTACAAGCAACACTACTAAACCTGATAGCAGGAGGGTAGAATTAGTCCCATTTCACAGAAGAGGAAACTGAAGCTCAGAGAGGCCATGCAGCTCATTGGTGGTGGTGTTGGGGACAGACCTCCGCTCAGCTTCTCCTTTCCCTCCTGCTGCACAGTTATGTGTCCCCAGAGGAGCCTGGTCCCTCACTCTTAGGGGGTGGAAACCCGCAGGAGACCACTGGACCTCTGCTATGACTCTTTCCGACCATCAGTGGCTCTGGACCCTCTCTCAGCTCCCTTCCTGTCTTTATTCCAACGTGGACCTGGCTTTGAATCACAGCTCTGTCCCACCGCCACTGCCCGCACCCCCTCAACCAGCTGTGTGACCTTGGGCAAGTGACCTCACCTCTCTGTCTCAGTTTCCTCCTCTTAAACGAGAGTGCTTATAAGAACAGTTAGCATTTATTGAGCACTTGCTAAGGATGAGGCATACTTCTATCAGTGTCCACACTCGCTTCCCCCAACAATGCTGACTGTTATTTCCATTCTTCAGTTCAGAAAACTGATCCAGAGACTTAAATCCCTCAACCCAGCCGCTCAGCTAGTAATAGGTAGAGCCACAATTTATAGTCAGCAGTCTTGTTCCAGAATTTCCCGGTCAGCTCCTGGGCCCTACTGGTGGGGAGGGGAAGAATTCACAAGATTCACATTGACCTTGGGATGCATCCGGCCCTGGCAAGAGCAGGCATTGGGCATGAAATCCCTGTGTCCACCGTGGGCCCTACTGCAGTCAATGCCCTGCAGGTACACTTCTAGGCTTTTCTGAAAGCCAATCTCTCCCTGGAAAGCAGACACCCCTCCCCTGCCCCTCATCCGACCCAGGATCTCTGTGCCCATCACTGCCAGCAGGACCAGCTGCCCCGGGAGGCCTCTCCTGAGCCCTCAGCCCCCTGCCCTGCAGACAGACGGATGCAGGGAGCATACCTAGGCGACATTCCAGGCGCCCTGTCATTTCTAAGGACATTGGCCGGGTCAATAGCTCAGGCCCGAGGGAGGGTGTCTCACGACCCAGATAAGGGAAGTGACATTCTCATAGTCACGTAGTTGGGATGAGACACCTGCGGCCCTCAGAGGGCCTAACACCCTTCCTGGATCACAACCTAGGAAGCTGGGCCACTGTCGAGTCTGCCGAGAACTGGGCACCCACAGTAGGTCAGGAGCAGGAATGCAGGCCCCTGCAAGGTAAGGAGCAGGGTGAGCCGGATGGAAAGAGCAGTGAGCTGTCACGTGGAGACCCTTTGAAAAGCATAGCTTCTATTCTGCTCCCTGAACAGAGGGTTGAAGCCCCTTGAAAATGAGGTCCAGCGTTACCAGAGTGGCTAGTTTTTCCAAAGATGCCACTCATTCCCATTTTTATGTGAAAGTCCCCCAATTTAAAAGCTAGCATTTTTTTTAAAAAATGAAAAACCATGGTGCAGGCCAATCTTGGGAGGTCTGTGGGCCTGCACGAGGGCCGCTGGATGACAAGCTCTGCAGGAAACCTCCGGGGACTGGTGCAGGGAGCTGTCTAGCTGTTTCTCTGCTGCAGGGACCCTGGGCTCGAGGCCACAGACCTGCGCTGAAATGCCAGCTGTGCCGCTTAGCGTGCTGTGTGACCCTGGGTAAGACACAGTCCCTCTCTGAACTTTAATAGATTCTGCTACGAAGAGAATACTAGTACTACTTCTCAGGGTTGAGAATTCGATGTGATGATGTATGCACAGGGTCCAGTAAACAACAAATAAACTTTCCAGGCCTGTTCCTTTCAACCTGGGCTAACAGCTTGGCCTGAGTGAGCCCCAGGCTTTTCAGATCAGACTGTATAGGCCTCTGCGATGCCCACTGGACCAGAGCCCTGGCCTGGGCCTCATCACAAAGGAAACATCAGATCCATGTGGTGGTTGGAAAGGAGAGTCTTGGGGAGACACTGTCATTTGCTTAGTTCTCAGACTGGCATCAAGGAGCTGATTGGTTAAGAACCATGTTGGTCATCTCTCCAGGGCCTCTAGTGGATGCATAAAATCTGGGAGGATGGGAGCAAGGGGAGGGATGGGGCAGAAAATATTTTTGGCTTTTTTCAGCAAATGTAGGCAGTCATTTCTGCCTATATAAGTGCTGGTCTGAGTTCAGGCCCACAACATCCAGAAGGAGTGTCTGAATCATCAAAAATAGAATGAACTTTGTTGAGGGGAATTTCTGGGTAGAGGATTCAGAGCCATAAGACAGAACAGAAAGAGGAAGTGGTAAGCCTTCAGATCTAGAATCATAATCAGAGGTCCATAGAATATCAGAGTCTTTGAGTTTTATAGCTTGTGGGTATAGTATGTTGCCACCATCCATCCCATTGGCTTGAGAAGGCGGAGAGGTGGCTAGACTCTTATTAAGTAGGCAGTGCTCACCAAGAAAAATGATGTGAGCCACATACAAGATTTAAAAATTTCTAATAGTCACACAAAATTAATAAAATATTTTAATAACAATAAATTAATAAAATAAAAATTAATTAATATTAATTAATATTAATTAATAAAATAAAATAATTAATAAATAAAATTAATTAATAAAATATTTTATCCAACCTACTACATCCAAAGTATTATCCTTTCAACATGTAATCAATATAAAAAATTATTGAGGACCTGAATGAGGTGCACCCAAGGATCCCCTTGTATTCTGGCTTCTGTTGGTGTGATGGTAAATTTTATGTGTAAACTTGGTTGGGCCACAGTATCCAGATATTTGGTCAAATATTATTCCAGGTCTATCTGTGAGTGTTTCCAGATGAGATTTTACATTTAAATCAATGGAGTTTGAATAGAGCAGATTGCTCTATCCTGTGTGGTGGGCCTCATCTAATCAGTCAAAGGCCCGACTAGAACAAAAGACTGACATCTCCTGAGCAGGAGGGGATTCTGCCATCAGACTCCCTTTAGACTTGAACTGCAACTCTTTTCATATATATGCATCTTGTTGGTTCTGGAGTACCCTGACCAATACATCTGGGTTGGGGAGCCCCAGGAGAGCTGAGAGAGAAAGGGGAGAAAGATCCAGGGTGGCTACCTCCCTATGGGGTCACAAAGGACTGGATATGTCCCTGGACTAAAGTTGCCAGCTTCAGGTCAGCATCTGTCCTTGAGCCCCCAGGCTGGAAAGTGTTTCTCCGTGGCTGGTCCTACCTCCCATCACCACCAGGGTCCATGGTTTTTCTTGTGGTTCCCATAAACGACCATCTGCTCACACCTTGCAACTAGACCTTCTACTAAAATCTCCTCACATGAGCTAGTTTATGTGTTTACCATCTATTTTTGATACCCTGACTGCCGGGGTCCAGCCCGAGCAGGACCCAGGGGAACCCTCAGGATGAACGGCGTCAGCGAATGAGAGATAGTGAGACAAAGCTCGGGGCTGAGTCTGGAGTTTATTTTTGCACGGCCCCTTTATACCCTTAACAACATCTTTTTGGGGGAAGTGCATATTGCTTACACACAGGTCATCTCAAAACATTACAGCAACTTGATCTTCAACAGAAACAGGATGTCACCCACATACTTTTCGTTCACAAGAGTCTTTCTTATCATTTGGCCTTCAGGCCTGCTAACATTTTATGGCTTGCACCTGGTGTGATTTAAGCAACTTCAGTAGCTGACCCTGTTTTTCTTATCATTAATCTATTTTCTTTCTAATAGGCGTCATCTCCATGGGAACTAGATAGGATTACATTTTTACAGAACAGAAATGCGAAGGACTGCAAAAACAGCAGATATGGCACAAAACAGGCTCTTAGTCTAAAAGTTAACTACCTGCAAGAAGTTGCCAGCTAATCTCTATCTAAAGTATTTTCTATTAGGCACATTTGTGGCTATAATATTTGTGGAGCTTTTCTCACCCTGTGAAGGGGCCTATGCTTAATAGTTTCTTTTGTTAGCGTAGTGTGCCTAGGATGTTTAGAACAATCATGAGCATTTTGTGCAATGAGAGCACACATTTATTATACAAGCCAGAATGCCAGCAAAAGGGTTTGAATTGAAGCATTTCCTTCATCCCTGGCCCCTTCATAGGGTACCAGTGTCCAGGAGATTTATTAATTAGGGTTTTAAGTTGGTCCTCATTCAGTGAAAGAGGAGCAGGAGAGCTCTCGGCAGGCAACACAAGAATCTGCAGCAGGGCAAACAAGAACGGCAGAAAAGGGGGGAGGATGCAGGGTGGGGTAGAGGCCGAGGCCAACCTGGAGGGTCCCTTATGCCTGTCAGGTTTTTTCCTCGTGACCTCGTCATGGATGGGGTCCCGGACAGCCTTGCCTGCCCGGTATTTTCTTCATGACCTCGTCACGGGCGGGACCTCCCATAACGGCTCCCGGCACCTGACTATGATGCCCATCTCTCAGATGGGGAAACCAAAGTCCAAACAGACAAGGATCTGCTTAAGGTCATAGGATATGGGTGGAGCCAGGTGTCCAATGCAGTTCATTGAACGCCTCCTCAATGACTTTTATTCCCCTCACCCCCATTTCCCATCAGGGTTTCCACTCCTCTGCCCACACGACTCTACTCTTCCATTTGATGTACATGCTGAAATCTGTCCGTGTCCTATCACTCCACATTTCATCACTTCTACCTGTGGCCATGTTTCCACAGTGTGAAATAACCCCCCATTCTCCAGTGACGGCCTCCAGCTCCTTGGCACCTCAAACAACACTGGCATGAATATCCTCCTATATTGTCTCTTCAGGGATGCAGGGGGTAATTTTGCTGGGATATAAGCCCAAGAATAGGATGGGCCACAGGGAATGCCAATAGTGGATCTTCCTGATGACTGCCAAGGTGCTTGCCAGGACAACGACGATCGTCCGCTGTCTTGCCAACAGAACACGAGGGTTTCTGCGTCTTCCCATTTCGCCATCACTCACTGTCTATTTCTCTAGTTTTTGCTAGTCTGATGGGTGCGTTGTGGTTTAACTCGCACATATCTGATTACAAGCGATTTGAGCATCTCTTTATACACCTGCTGGCCACTTGCACATCCCTTTTCAGAATGGTACATTTCTATCTTTCACTCCGTTTTCTCTTGCGTGCCAGGATGGAAGGATTCCAAAACTGGTGGTCAGCCACCTTCTCCCCTGTTTGTGGGTGACACGCCTCCCATCAAGGAGCAAAGTTATTTCCCTCCCGTTGAACCAGGCTAACCCTGTGACCTGCTTTGACCTAATGATGTTTTGGACTCCTAAGCCCAGGCCTCAAGGGGCCTTGTGGCTTCTGCTTTTGCCTTCTGAGAAGTCCACTGTCATGTACAGCAGCCCAGGCTGAACTCCTGAGAAGCCACATGACCCTTGGGGTGTCCAAAGCCACCATGGACATTCCAGCTCCAGCAAAACCCCCAGATGAGTGGCCCCACCCACACCATGTACAGCAGAGATAAAACCATACCTGCTGAACTCTGACTAAATGCAGAAATATGTCGCATTTTTAGGCCCTGAACTTTGGGCTGATTTGTTGTGTAACCACAGGTAATTAAGTGCTTTGTTTTTGTCTCTTTTGACTTCTGGGTATTTCTTGTGTGTTACAGATGAGTTACTGGTATATTTCTAATGACTCTGTACCACCCCTGACATCCCCCTTCCTCCCACAGTATGGTGAGCACACGGCTGACTCCTACTGGCCTTGGTCCAGTGCCGCCTCCTCAGAGAAGTCCTCCCTGACCACCCCAGCTAACATAGCCTCAGAGTAGGTTTATCACACTGGCCAGTTCATTTTCTTCTTAGCCCATATTATGACCCAGAGTCACATTATTTGGTTACCTGTCTACTCTCTGTCTCCTGGGCTAAGAGCTATGTGGCTAAGGACAGTGAACTAACATGAAATAAGTTCTAAATTAATACTGTTGGATGAATAAATGGAAGAATAAATGAATAAAAAAATAAGCCAAATAACCCTGGATTAAACAGTGAGATTATTTTGTCATAATTTCTAGCATAGATTTATTTATCAAATATTTACTGAGCACCTACTATGTGCCAGAAACTGTTCTGAGTACCAGACTTACAGCACTGAACAAAAGAAAGTTTGCATTCTCATAGGTTTATATTCTAGAGGGTGAGAAAATTAATAAACAAGAAAATAAATAATACAGCATCCTGAATAAATACTAAGAAAACTATAGCAGCATAAGGGGATAAAAAGTAACGAGGTGATATTTAGACCCAATGGTCAAGAAAGCTTCTCTGGGGAGGTGACATTTGAGCAGAGACCTGAATAAAATGAGGAAACAGGCATATATTTGGGAGCCAAGTGTTCTAGGCAGTGAAAACAGCACATGCAAAGGCCCTGAGGCAGGAGAGCTGGAGTGTGTGGTTGGAGTGGAGTGGAGAAAGGAGAGCAGTAAGGACATGAGATCAATTCTGCTGTGAAACCCCATGTTCCAGAATGTGGGGCTTTGCAGCTCTTTTATGGCCACCAAGGCAAATGATTTCCAGGCCCAGGGTTGATTAACATTCTTTATTTTACAGCATTTTCGATCAGAAGTATTTGAAATCACGATTCATCTGGTGATAAGCCCCTTGGGTTTTTCTGTGAATGAACTTCTCCCCTACCCCTTCCTATGGGAGGGCATCCCCCAATCCTGGTGGTCTGTAACTGACTAAATCTTGAAGGACCCCCCCGGCAGGAAGAACGGGAGCCTCTTCTCCCTGCTGCTCCTAGGGAAACATCCATGACTCACACGTACGGGGTGCGGCTCCCCAGCTGAGTTTCTTGGGGAACTACATCCCCCGGAGGAGTAGGAAGCGGGGGCCGTGAGCTTTCTGGGCTCACGCCTGGCCGCTGATTGCACAGACACTTCCTGAGCGCCTGTCGGGTGTCCAAACTGCACTGTTCCCGGGCGCTGGGGAAAGCTGAGATGCTCCCGCTTGAAACATGGAAGGAGCACATCCTTCAGCACAGGCCCCACCAGCCCCCAGCTCAGGGGATGCTACCCTTGTCTGTAGAGGAGGATTATGGGGTTTCCCTGCCTAAGACACTGGACATTTTACAAGGCCTTGATTTCTCTTTGACTTTTCTCTCCCCCCTGGAAAATGTGGCCCTTGCTAATCACACATGCTTACCACCTGGGATGGGGGCGGGGAGGCAAAGAGCGGCTCCGGGAACAAGAAGGAGCCGGCAACCAGGAAGGCCCGTGTGGGAGGCGCCTGGCTGGAGGAGCCATGGGCCACCTGTTAGGGGGCACGGCCCACACTTGGCCTGACCCTGGAACTGTGGCCACACTGATTCAGACTAATCAGGAAAATTCAGACAATCAGGAAAATCCGAAAAAGCTTGGGTGGAAAGGTCTAGAACTCCCCTTGTGTGCTCGGGAGCCCAGAGAAACAGCAGAGAGGCTTTGTGCAGTCTCCATGTCCTCAGGGGTCATCTGTCCCTCCCCGTGTCTCCAGGGACTGAAAATAACCCTGGCTTCTGGGTATCAGCAGAGGCGCTATTCAAACAACTGGTACAGAAAGGGCCCCCACCAAGCAGCGCACACGCCAGCTGGGAACAGCTGGAATAGCTGGACTGGGACACGGCATCCCCGGCCTCTTGAAGGAAGGTGACCCCTAAAGGCAGGATGCTCTCTCCAGATGGTAACCTTGCGTCATCAGTGAGGGATGCTAGCGGTGCCTCCTGCCCCAGCTGTTCAAGACAAACGCCATTCCGGATTGGCTTACTGTTGCTGAAACTGGGCTTTCTTGCATCCTAACCACAGGTCCACTCAGAGACAAAGGAGCTTGTTTCTCAGGCAGCAGAACTGGGAGGAAGCAGCTCCCTGAACTGTGTGGGAGACAAGAAGGTGTCCTAGAGAACGAGACTGTGGACCCAAGTGGACCACCGGGAGTCACCCTTGCTGGCTGTGTACTGGATCACAGAGAAGAACTGCTGGATCAGCCTGTGGGGTCCCAGCAGCAGAGGATGGCGAAACGCTCTGGGAGGGCCCAGCCCGAAGAGAGCTCCTGAGGGGGGCTCAGAGGGTCCGATATGTGCCGTTAACCACGCTGGATGGCAGTGCTGTGACGTTGCCTAAGTGGATGTCGGCCCAGTCTGGGAAGGTGCCCAGCTGGAAGATGGTCTGTGCCCAAGTATTCATGGCCAAGCTGAGCAGCAGGACGCCCATCAGGTTCATCAGGAGTCCCGTCCGCACCTGCAAGGGAGCCCAGGGTGAGGGAGGGTTCTACTAGAGGCCCATTATACAGATGGGGAACCTGAGAGTCAGAAAGCCTTTCACCCAAGGTGGCACAGCTGGGGAGAGATGGAGGGGGAACACAAACCCAGGACGGTTGATACCCAATAGCCTTCCATCTTTACTGCCCTAGGCTGACCCTCAAGGAGCTGAAAATGTCCCCTTTCGTTGAGTGGTTTCTAGCTGCCAGACGCTGTGCCATGCGGTTGTCATAGAGCTATGTCATTTACCCTGAAAGCAACCCTTTTAGGGTTGTTCTTATTATTATTCCCATTTTATAGAAGAGGAAAACGAGGCTCAGAGCAGTTGGCTCACCCAGCATCACGCAACTTGAAAACAACCTGCTCTGATCATTAAACATCCCCTGCTCTGCATTTCCTGTCTCCTAGGAGGCAGGCCTGTGTCTCCCCTACCCTGCACCACCCTGGCGCCTGGAACGAAGAATGTGCTCAGCAAACACTTGTACAGTGAATGACCAACGAATGAATGAATGTCTGTCTTCCCGGGTGCCTGCTGTCTCTCTGGTGTCAACGCTTCCTGCCTCTCACTCTCGTTTTCTCTCCCTTTGTCCTGCTGGGGTGTCTGTGCCTGGAGACCCTACCTCAGCTGGGAACCAACTGGGCAGATCCCGCTTGTCTGCCGCACCAGTTTAGGGCCTGCAGTCCCCAAACTCCATGGTGCAATCATCCCAGGCAGCCAGTGGAGGCGGAAGGGCGGTGGGAAGCAGGCCGAGGAAGAGGCTCAGGTTGGAGGAGAGCCTTGCTAAAAGCTGGGATTCCGTGCCCCCCGCAACTGTCCTCGGCTTCTGTCTCCTGTCCAGGTGACCCAGCACCGAGGTGCACCCCCACATCCCTGGTGTGGTTGCTGCTCCATCTCTCCTAGAGATGCTGCTGGGCCCAGAGCGCTTGGCCAAACAAGTCAGAAAACAGGCGGTGCCCAGAGAAAGGGGAAGGTCCTTGTCTCTGAGGCAATCTTTGGAAAGCAGTGACTGAGTCAGAGCTTCCTGAAATCGACTAAGCAATCATCCCAGAGTGCTTCCTAGAAGTTATCAATTCTGGTCCTACTCAGAATGACCTATTCAGGAACTGGGGGGCAGGGGAGAGCGGGAGTCCTGCCTTGATTCCTTGCCCACCCCTGGTCCACCCACCTCTCAGGGCCTCTGTTAGAATACGCCTGGACTCACCATGTCTTTGACCAGCAAGTGTCCGGAGGCGAAGGCGATTGAGTTGGGGGGCGTCGAGACTGGGAGCATGAAGGCGTAGGAGCAGCCAACGGTGCCAGGGATCATCAAATACAGGGGGTGCACCCGCAGACGGATGGCCTGGGCCAGGCAGTCAGCGGTGAGACCCAAACAGAGAAAGAAAGAGAAACCACACGCGAGGTGGAGACAGGAGGAAAGCGAGGGACACGGCGACAGATGGAGAGACAGGAAAAGAGCCAGAGATGTACAGACAGGGATGCGCGGAGTGACAGAGAACAAGAGAAACAAACGAGAAGATGAATTTAAAGACACACGGAGCGAAATGCAGCCAGAAATACAGACACACAGGCCGAAGGAGAGACACAGACAAGAAGAGAACCATACAGAGGGAGACAGGAGAGAACGTTCCTGGGTTAGCAACGTTCCAAGGCCATGTGCAGGTTTATCAGGGAGGACGGGCAGGGGAAATTATTCTAGAACACTCCCTCTCCAACAGAGTCACCTGGAGGGCTGGTGGCCCCACCTCTTGCAGAGCTGCTGGATCAGCATGTGTGGGGTTTGTTGGGGGGGGGGTGCGGTGGCAGCAAGAATTTGCATTTCTGACAAGATCCCAGGTGATGCTGACATGCTGGTCCACATTTTGAGAATTTTGAAAATGTGCTGGGACCACACATTGAGAATCACAATTCTAAAACCTTATGCCCTCTGCCTGGTCCTTCTCAAATGGTCCAAACAAGTAGGTAGAGAGCAGGGATGCTGCTAAACAGCCTACAATGCAGAGAGCTTCACATAACAGAATTCTCCAGCCCCAAATGTCCATAGTGCTAGAAACCCTGCTTTAAAGGGAAGCTAGAACTTTGCCTCCAGTTAGAATTTCTGCTATGGTTGTCTGTCTACTCAGATTTTCCACTTCTTTTTAGTCCATATTTGGTCATTTCTATTTTCCTAGAAAACTCTTTATGTCACCACGGGTTGCTTTTCCCAGAGGAGGCCTTCTGGTGTGCTTTGAAAATATTTACTGTTTATGCATTTCTTAGAGAAAAAAAAAGACAGTATTTTAAAAAAACCACGGTTCTGACACTTTTATGCATTTTGGATGAGAATGATGACAATTGTGGCCCCCCGTGGAGCTCCCAGGATCAGGGACGAGACTGGTGAGCCTGTGTTGGGGAGGGATGTTTCCCTCCCGTCCCAGGACCCTGTCAGGACCCTTACCAGCTCCGCCAGGACAGGCAGAAAGATGATGATAGTGGCCGTGTTGCTGGCGAACTCGGTGAAGAAGGCGACCACCACGGTGATGAGCATCACGGCCAGCGCAGGGGGCACATTCTCCAGGGGGTGCAGCTGCCCGCCGATCCACGCCGACAGCCCCGACTCCTGCGGAGGGAGGAAGCAAGAGCACCTCCTCACACCCAGCCCACCGCCGGCTGCCACCCCCGAGCCTGGGCCAGGTGGAAGCAGTTAGGACTGGCCACAGCGACGATAACTGCACTCTTTCACATACAGGTTGACTGAGGTTCAGAGAGGGTAGGTCACCTGCCCAAGGTCACATATTCGATCAGCCTCTCTGCTTCCTGAGCTGCTCTCTACTCCATACTCCACAGGCCCAGGGCCCACACCCCTGGGTCCTTCAAATAATCCATGCGGTTCTCCCGGTAGTTCGGTTGGTTCGGGTAGCCCTGACTTGAGTGGGAGAGGGGCACTGGAACTGTTAAATCTTCTCATCCCTCCAATGATAGCTATCACTTCCAAAAAATTAACATATTTATACAAAATATTCATTATAAAAATTTATAATTATTATGAATCAGTACATATTAAATATATAATATATATGATATATATATCATATATAATAGAAAACATGCATCAGCTAGAAGTCAAATACAACACAGTGAATGTGTGAGTGCTCAGTTGCTAAGTCATGTCTGACTTTTTGCAACCCCAGACTGTAGCCCACCAGGCTCCTCTGTCCATGGGATTCTCCAGGCAAGAAAACTGGAGCGGGTTGCCATTTCCTTCTCCAGGGGATCTCCCCAACTCAGGGACTGAACCCATGTCTCCTGCATTGCAGGCACATTCTTTACCACCGAGCCACCAGTGAAGGCCAGCACAACGAATAGGATTACCAACAATAAAGACATTTATGATGATTATTACAATGATGGTGCACGAACACTGCCATTATTATTTGTATTATTATTCATTAGCATAAGAATCACTAACCATTCAGCAAAGTAAACACTCCTTCCCGTATTACAGAGAAGGAATCCTAACTTGGTGAAGATTTTGTGACTTGCTTAGTGTCCCCAAAGTACTGACTTAAGATGTTATTTTGCACTCAGGGTCATGGAGTCAGTATACTAACATTCTCCTGCAAAGCACCCTGTCACTACGTACTCTCCAGTGGACACACCAAACTGTCACTGTGCCTCTTAATGAAGGGCAGTGCCCAGAGCTGAGCACAGCTCTCCAGGGCAGTGAAGACAAGGTCGATTGTCCCCTCTCTGACTCCAGACTCCACCTGCCATCAATGCTGCAGAATTATCTCCAAGCTCTCTCTCTCTCTGCTGACTTCTCCAGGAATTACTCTACTTGCGGGTATTTAATAATGATACTCTCCCGATTCTGCCCTCCAGGCCTCAAATGTATCCTAACCTTAATAACCCAGAATCCAATGCACCTTCGTTAAATCCCCAAAGCGGAAAACGGATGTAAAATTGTGCTCGATGCTGCCCCCTGGTGGTGCTACGCGGCAATATACCAATAAAGCTACAGGGGCGCCACCTGTAGGTCGTTTTCTTGACAAAGATAAAGGAGTTGTAGGCTTAGGAGCGGATCAAGGCCAGGGTTGGGTCAGACCCCTAACATTTGGCCAAGTGTATGTCTACCACAGCCCTTTTATCAGTGCAATATCTTTTGGTACTAACACACTTCGGCTTATCAGAGAACATGTATGCATTTCTTTTGTGTTGAATAGAAAATTTGCTGACAAATTTAGACAGCTTTGCTGACAAAGCTTAGAAACTAAGCTTTCATAGTGGATTCTAGAATATAGTATACTGTTTTGACACAAATAAATTATTTTATTTGACGCCATGACTTAAAAGTTACCTTCAAGGAATGAATAATAAATGCTTAAAGATAGTTTTCCCTAGAAGAGACCTTATAAAAAGTAAGGTTCTTCTTCCACATCCGCAATGTTTGATAACCTGGAAATTATAGTGCATGGCAGAGTCCAGACCCCGGCCCCTCCTATGGCGCAAGGAACTCTGCAGGGGAAAATGGGGCCACTAGTTTTTCTCAGAGGCCACGGCTCTGGCAAAGAGACTGATGGCAGTGTATGTAATTAAATGGAGAAGGGCTGGAGAGAGGGAATATTAATGACTTAGATGAATGAGGAGCCAAGAGCTTCCCTGTAGCCGGGCCTCTGGGTGCCAGGCTCCCAGCCAACCTCCCCCCGGCCACTCGCGGGCCCGGAGGGAGGTCTGGCAGCTTCGCAAGAGAGGAGACCCCCCAGCTGCTCTCGGGGGGACTCAGGGGGCTTCACCTGCCCTTTCCTGTTCTCTTAGGCATCAGAAGCTCTGTTTCCATGGAAACACAGCCACGGGTTTTCCCAGGGACCCGCAAGGGCAGAGGGGCATGCCCAGGGGGTGAGGACAAAGGACTTTGAAAGCAGATTAGGCTTGTCCCCCGTTCGCCCCCCACCCCCGCCTTCATCCATCCCTCCTGCGTCTTCCTCCACAAGTAACTTAAACTTTCTGTGCCTCGGTTCCTTATCTGTAAACTGAGATGCGATAGTGCTTGTCCTCGGGGGTTACATAACTGCCCGGCTAGTTCACCTGGTAGAGCATGGGACTCCTAATCCCAGCGTTGTGGGTTCGAGACCCACGTTGGGCAGCTGCTTTCCAACGTTTGGGCTTCCCTTGTGGCTCAGTTGGTAAAGAATCCGCCCGCAATGCGGGAGACCTGGGTTTGATTCCTGGGTTGGGAAGATCCCCTGGAGAAGGGACAGGCTACTCACTCCAGTATTCTGGCCTGGAGAATTCCATGGGGTCGCAGAGTCGGACACGATGGAGCGACTTTCACTTTCACTTTAGGGAGTTATGGTTGGGAGAAAAGGAACTAATCTCTAAAGCACTTAGAAAAGTGCTTGGGTGCCAGGTGAGTGCCCAAAACATTTCATTGGCCATTAGTGGCATCAAGTCACGAGATGCCAGCGGTGGTGGGACACTCAAGAAACTGCCTTGAGGAGTGGTTGTCAAACCGTTCCTTACAGCCCCCAGGGATGCCAAGAGGTGCCTGAGGCCACTGATGCAGGATGAGAGGGGAAGGCGGAGCTGGCAGGACGGTGACCCCTCTTTCTCCTCCTTTCTCACTTCCATGAGGTCCTTTCTTCCTGATCTCGCTGATACACGGAAGGATCAGATCTTAAAGGAGGGTGTTATGGTAGAAGTGAAATGTTTCAGGTTGAAATCTCCATAGAAAATCCTTGAAAAATCTCTTTAAAGGCCTCATAAAAGACAGTAGGCTCAGCTGTGTGTGAACAACTCGACATAAGAGTTCTTGGGTAGGGACTTCCCTGCTGGTCCTGCAGTTAAGATGCAACTAAAGATCCTGCATGCCACAAATAAAACCCAGTGCGGCCAAATTAGATAAATAAATAAAGTAATAAAATAAATATTTTACAAAAGATTGATAGTAAAAAAAATAGAATTCTTAAGTGGAGAGAGCCAGTGAACTTGACTAAAGGAAAAGAAGAAAACACTTCATGTGCATACATGAGCATTCGTTTGAATGTACTGTACTTGCTTACACTGTACTGCTTACAAGCTGTGTGGCATTGGGCAAATTAATGAATGTCTCTGTTCCTTGCTTTCTTCAAAGTACAGGTAAAAACAATTCCTATATATAATAAGTACCAAACAGGGCTTACTATTACTTATTTAATTTAACAAACACTTAATACAGTGCTTATTCTGTGCTGAGAACTCTCCTTAGTACTTTGCTAACATTAACTTATTAATCTTCAGAACAAGTCCACGAAGGAGTGGCGATGTGGGTGAGTGTGCCCAGTCGTTCCAATTCTTTGTGACCCCATGGACTGTAGCCCTCCAGCCTCTGCTGTCCATGGGATTCTCCAGGCAAGAATACTGAAGTGGGTTGCCATGCCCTCCTCCAGGGAACAAACCTGTGTCTTCTGCATCTCCTACATTGGTAGGCAGATTCTTTACCACTGTGCCATCTGGCAGGGATGAAGCAGTGCAGTTTTCTATATTTTACGGTTGAAGAAACCGAGGCACAAAGGTTGTGATATGCTCAAATAAGTGAAATGGGTTTGGAATTTTGTGCTCAGAATCTGGCTCTTACTTCATAATGCTACCTCTTCAATAAAATGATAAGAACAGTAAGAACAGCAATAATAATAACTCTCCAGCAGAAAATGAGGGATTCAGGAGAATACACATGTTTCTACTTGCCTATAGGGTCTGTTCCACCCTGATTTAATACCAACTTGTATCACCTGAATATATTTGTAGATAAGTTTGTTGCGGATAGAGATTAAACGAGATGTACATAAAGGTGCCAGAATTAGACCAACGTTTAATTCCTGAGCCAGTAAAACTATAATAACAATAAAAGTGGTGAGCCCTCTGAATCAGCCCCCTGCCAGGTACTCGCCATCCTTCATGTCATCAGTCCTCAGAACATCCCATTTTACAGGTCACGTCCAACAAATACTTACTGAGTGAGCATGTTAGGTACCAGGACTTTTCTAGATGCCTAGAGGAGCGATGGAGAAGACAGATATGGTCCTTGCCCTCATGGACACCAATAAACAAATGAACAGGATTTCCTGGGGGGCGGGGTAGCTGTTCACTGTTTAGTTGCTAAGTCGTGTACGACTCTTCTGTGACCCCTGTGAACTGTAGTTTGCCAGGCCCCACTGTCAGTGGGATCTCCCAGCCAAGAATACTGGCGTGGGTTGCCATATCCTTCTCTGGGGCCAGGGTTGGGGAGGGTGGTGTCTTCCCAACCCAGGGATTGAACCTGCACCTCCTGCACTGGCAGCCAGATCCTTTACCACTGAGCCACCGGGGAGGCCCACAACCCGAGGGGTAGATGCGGCTACAGAAGTAATAAGGGTGATAAGACAGAGAGGTGGGCTGTGGCGGAGGGGGGGGGGGGGGAGACTACCTTAGATATGGTGCCAGAGAGGGCTTCTCTGAGGATGTGATCTTGAAGCCAAGACCTGAGGGTAAGGACTCAGAGATCTCAGGGAAGAGCATTCGGCAGAGAGAGGAAGCAGGTGCAAAGGCCCTGGGGGTGCAAATGAGTTTAGTGTGGCTGAGAAGCAGGCCAGTGGGACTGGAGAGGAGCCCCAGGGGGACAGAGATAAGAGCTGATGTCGGGGAAATGGGCGGGGGCTGTTCTCTGGAGGTCCAGGCAAGCCTTCAGACTAGAGTCTAATTACATGGGGGAGTCACGGACAGTTCTGCAGCAGGAGGAAACTGGTGTGAACATCAAGCAGATTTACACAAGTTACTCAAGCTCAGCGGAAGCACTGGGGTCTGCTTCCAGCCCCTCAGAACCAGCAGGTGGGTGTCCACACATCCAGGCTCACTGTGGCCTGGTCTGAGGGCCTCCAAGCCCCGTGAGGCCCGGTGGTGACCTGGCGAGGGCACTGGTCAGGGGCTGGGAAATAGGACGTGCCATGAGCACTCTGGTCCCTCCAGTGACAGGCCGCCTGGGGCGGGGATGGTACGAGCAGGGGCTGTGGAGGGGGCCGCTGTCACACACAGTCTTTGTTGCACAGAAACCCTGGCCGGCTGCCCAAGGCTGGGCCGGGAGCCAGACTGGCCTCTCCAGCATGCTCAGCGGTCCTGCAGCCCAGCCCCCACTGTGAGCTGGGCTTTGTCCTCCACTTCGAGCTCAGAGAAACCTCTGGGGTGCGGGTCAGGCTCAGGGTGAGGTGAGGACCACGCCATCTTATTAAATGGCACCATTTCCACTGAGTTGCTCAGGGCAAGAACCTCTGCTTTTCCAATCCATTTAGTAATTGTAACAGCTCTATGCGATGGGCACCATTACTGTGCCCATTTTACAGATTAGGAAATGGAGGCACACAGCTTAGAGGTGGAGGACCAACTCCAACCCAGAAGGCCTGGGTCCACCACCCACGCTTTCCACCTTTGCCCTGCATGGCCTCCTAAGACCCGGCTAACATGCCACTTCCTCCTGGAAGCCTTCCCTGATGTGTCCCAAGCAAGAGGCAACAGTGAGAGGAGCGCAGCAAGTTCAAACCCCAGCTCTGCTCACTGTGAGCCCTGGAGGCCTGGTGACACAAGTGGAGGGCGGGCGTGCTGCCATGGGAGATCTTCTGTGACACAGCGAAGACTGGTGGCTCAGATGGTAAAGCGTCTGCCTGCCAATTCAGGAGACCTAAGTTTGATCCCTGGGTCAGGAATATCCCCTGGAGAAGGAAACAGCAACCCACCCCAGTACCGTTGCCTGGAAAACCCAGTGGACAGAGGAGCCTGGTAGGCTACAGTCCATGGGGTCGCAAAGAGTCAGACACGACTGAATGACTTAAAAAAGACCCAGCGCAGCCAAATAAAAATAAATAAATGATATTTTGAAAATCCTGAATTTTAAAAAGTAAACAATCTGAGAAGTAATTTCAGCTTTCTTTTACCTTAATTTCCGATTGACCCTTAACTGGCTGTGTTTTGAAATCTGGGGGTAGGGTAGGGCCCAGCTTCATGAGCTGTGGATTCAAATACCACTCTGCTGGCTTCTGGCTGCACAAACGGTGGCAACTTACTCAGCCTTGAGTTGCCTCTGTTTCATCTTTGAAAGGAGGACAACCACAACATCTGCTTCAGTGCTGCTTTTGAAGATTAGTGGAGTCAATATTTGCGCAGTACTTCCCGAGGTGCCTGGCACTTGGGAAGTTCTCAAGATTGAGCGTTAAGAGGCTGGATTCTGAAATCAGATGGACTGAAGTTCAAACCTCAGCGCCTAAGCAGAGGGCAACTGCATGACATTAAGAGAGCTGCTTAATTTTTCCAGGCCTCAGTTTTCCTACCTGTAAAATGGGGATAAAAATATTCCCTAGCCCTGAGGGTCAGTGTGGAGATTTCATGAGCTACTAGTTACCACCTGTTGGACACTGAGGCTGCACCTCCACTGAGCAGGTCTGGCTCTGCTGAGAACGTATTTCTCCCAAAATTCTTCTCTCTCTCTGCCTCGCTCACCTTGGTCTAGTCCTGGCTCTGCCTCTGTGCTCACAGAGCCCTTTAGAACCGCATTAATAGTAACACCAAGTAGTTAATATTCATAATATCTGGGCTTTAGAGCCAAACTATCTGGCCTCTAATCCTGAGGACACAGCTGTGTGGCCTTAGGGAAGTTACTTTACCTCTCTGTGCCTCAGTTTCCTAATCTACAGAATGGGGATAACGGTGGCATCTACCTCATAGGCTTGCTGGTAGGTTTAAATACACTAATATGAGTAGAGCGCGTTGAACAGTGCCTGTTGCAGGGTCAGCCTGCTAGGGTGAGCGCTCTGTTCTCACAGGACCCTCGGGTCATGATATTAGCACCAGCAGTACTAGCATAATGCTCACTGCCAGCTCCTCGGGGTTCCACACTGCACCATTTTCCTCTCTCTCTGGGCAGCACCAGGGAGGGCACGGAGCTGTGATCACCCCCATGTGGGAGGTGGGGTGTCTGCACGGCCGGTGGGGCTCACTCAGCCCCCCACTTGCAGCTGCCCCAGGACGGGCACTCACCTCCCCGAGCTGCCTGCTGCCTGCTCCTCTTACCTCGCAGCCTTTGGCCATGGCGAAGCCCCCTCCCAGGAGAAGGATGATGTTCCAGGGCACCGTGTCCTGAGCCCGCTTCCATGTCAGCAAGGGCACTGTCTCTGTGTTGGGAGCTGGGCGGAGAGAAGACACTCAGCCTGGGAGGGGATACCCAGTTCCACCCACCCCCCTACTCCTGGCAGGGAAGGGACCCACCACACTCTCAGGACCCTCAGCCGGAGGAGGGGACACGTGGGGGTCTCCAGGAAGCCACAATCTGGCTTCAGCATCCGATTTGGGAGTTTCCAGGAAAAAAGCCACAAGCATCATCAAAGGGCATTTGCTGTACTCAGAATCTTCTGGGATTGTGCAGTTCACATGCAGAACATCCCTTCAGTTCCTATTTTCACCCTCGTTTACGGAAGAGAAGGCCTCCTTTATAACTGAACGTGTACAGAGAGGAAGGAAATTCAGGAGAGTAGACACCGAGGGAATGTCTGGTCCATGGAGTTATGAGACGACTGTATTTCTTCAAAAGCAGGGATGTCTGCAGCGGCTAGAACAAGGGGCTGGCGAACGTCTGCTGAAAAGGGCTGGAGAGACCACTATCCCCGGCTCTGCAGATCTCTGCTGCGGTCAGGCCACCGCGGAAGCACGGAAGCAGCCACAGAGAGAGCAGACACACGTGGGCGTGGCGGCGTTTCCCCGAAATTCCATTTCCAAGCGGGCGGCAGCCGGATTGGCCCACAGGTGGTAGTTTGTCATCCCTGCACTGAGAGCATCCTCCTGGACCTTGGTCCACTGCGGGTCCCTGGAACATGACCTTGCCTCTCAGAGCCCCCATCTCCTCAGCTGACCCCTGACCCCATAATGGAAGCTGGTAGGTCCTTGTGGGCACTTCTGCGGCAGTGATGGAGCCGTGGGTGGAGGGACACTTCGGTTCAGTTCACAGCTGCCTGGCACCTGGAAGTCACTCCGTAAACACGTGCCAGATGATATATACAACACACGGAGCCCCGTGTCTGGCACCGAGCAAGCTCCCTGGAACCAGGCCTTCCCACTGCGGGCTGCCAGCAGCCTCCCTGGAGGAGGATGGGTCTGACCCATTCAAGGTTTCTCTGCTGCCAGGACAGTCCCTGGTTAAACATTCTTTGATATTTTTTTTCCTCTTTTTGGTATTTTTCAAAATTTTATAGCTTGGTTCTCTAAAACAAAAGTTTCTAACTGGATAACAAAGACAATCCAAAGCTACTTTATAAAGCCCCTCTACTAAACAGTCCATGGGGTCGCAAAGAGTTGGACATGACTGAAGTGACTTAGCACGTACGAGATGCACGCAGCCCATGGGTGTATACATGTGGTTCTGATGTCACACACCGCCAGCGGATTCGTGGGCCAAACCCAAGTATGAGTAAGTCCAGAGCTGGAAGAGGCAGGTGGCCCAGCCCTTGGCCTTTAGGTGATAAAATAATATTTCACTAAAGAGGAATCCAAGGTCTGAAAAAGTGACCCACCTAGAAAGTAAGGGTTGTACAAGCAGAGGGAGGAGGCCCTGAGGATGAGTTTAAGTGAGTTAAGATAATGAGGTTAAGTGAGTTAAGGTAATGAGGTTAAGTGAGTTAAGTGGTGAGAGTTTATAAAACTGCTCACCATATGGTGAAGTCAGCTCTTACTGCCTTTATTATCTTCCCACCCAACCATGCCCTTGGCGCTATTTCTTATAAACGCAGCCTCTGACTGAATTTCTCACTTCTGGCTCTATCTTCTACTCTCTGCTGTCTAGAGCAGGAGCTGAAGGAACAGACTTTGAGGTTAAACTAGAACTCAGTCCTGGCTCTGCCATTCAGCTGTGTGACTTGAGCCAAGTGCCTCTACCTCTCTGAGCTTCAAAAGTCTGCAAGAGGGAACAACAGTACCTCCCTGGAGACCAGTTCGGACAATGACATGGGCCATGTGTGCAACGGACTCAGCACGGGGTGTGGCCGGAGCGAGTCCGTGGTCATTTAATTAGCAAGAGTATATTGGGGACCTACCCTAGCCCCTGAGGATATGGAAGTGGCCAAAACAGGGAAAAACCCTTCCTGTTGGAAAACTTACATCCCAGTAAGTGAGGCAGGCGATAAATCAATACATGTATCATGTTGGGAAATTTTATGCGCTATGAAAAAATTAAAAAGAAAATATAGGAAAGAGACTGAGAGTGCAAAGGAGTGCTCTTCTAGATGGTGCAGTCAGGGAAGGCTTCTTTGGGGAGGTGACCTTAGAACAGAATCTGAAGCGAGGGATGGAGTGAGCCACTCAGATGTCTGGAGAGAGAGCCTGCTGGGCAGAGAGGAAGTGGAAGCGAGCACCATTGCCCACATCTCCGCCACATCCCCGCTTTCTCCGCCTCAACAACGCCATCCACAGCAGCCTCCTCGCCTTCCTCCCACTCTTCATCGTCACCCACACACAGCACCCAGGAGGCAGAGCCTCAGTGCTTGAGGAGCGATCATAAAGGGGGCTGCAAGCACCACTCGGGCCCGCAGAGGAATGGGAGACAGTGCGCAAGTGAAGAAAATCAAGTTTGGCTTGGATGTCTGAGGTCCGCCTCCCATATCTTTTTAACCGGCGGAGTGACCTTGATCAAGTCACTTTCTCTCCATGAGAACTGACGGAGCACTCTCTAAGGCTGCGTGGAAGACATGGGTGTTGAGCACCAGAGCCAACCCTTTAGGAGAGTAGCGGAAAGTGTGTGGGACTCGATGCTTCGAGGGACAGAAACCGGAGGCGGGAAGGAGGAGGAGCAGTGCGAGTAGGTACTGTGAGGGGGTGGGTGTTCCGAGGGGGACCACTCTGCCAGGGAACAGAAGCTAGAATCAGGCAGGAACGCTAATGAAGTAGAAGTTACACAGATGCCAAAGCTCAGAGACAGGAAAAACTCTGAAAAAAAGAAAAGTTTAAAAAAGTGAAAGTGTTAGACAATCAGCCGTGACCAACTCTTTGGGACCCCATGGACTGTAGCCCGCCAGGCTCCTCTGTCCATGGGGATTCTCCAGGCAAGAATACTGGAGTGGGTTGCCATGCCCTCCTCCAGGGGATCTTCCCGACCCAGGGATCGAACCCGGGTCTCCTGAAGTGCAGGCAGATTCTTTACTGTGTGAGCTACCGAGAAACTCTGAACAGACCAAGAAATGATACAGGGAGTGGATGGTGAGGAAAGCCAGCTGGAAGCAAGACAGAGAAGCAGGGAGGAAGAGAACATCTGAATCCTGTTCAGTGGCGCAGCCTCAAAGCCCACGGTCTCAGCCACCTGACCCCAAGGCTTGAGGTCCACCTCTGCTACAGTAAGTGCCTGTGGGTCTCTGGGAGACGAGCTCCGGGCTCATGCTTACACTATACTCCACACATACAAACCTCTCCTCCTGGAAACTGGAGCTGCTACTGGAATACACTTTTCTTCCCCCGGCAATAGAAGATGGTTAGATCACAACCCCTATTTCCTGACCCCTGGCCCAGAGCTCATCCCCCAGCCTCGGAGGGTGATGGGCCAGCCATGGCCTCTGTCACCGGGAGCAGATGTTGGCACTTTCTTCTGCAGACACCAGCTAAAATCCCAGTGGGGTCATAATCTGGCGATCTGAAGGCCAGCCTACAGACGTTTTGGTTTGGGTGCTCAGTGATTTCCTAAGGCTGAAATTGAACGTCTGGGTCTAGGTTTGCCTCAGTCCCCCTGCTTCCTATCCGTTTAAAACCCAGCAGGAGATTTCCATCTCTGGCTCCTTAGGCTCTTGCTTTGGGCCCAGGGTTTTTCTGGGTAGAGCCGAGGCTATTGTAAAGGCACTTACACGACTAAAGAAAGTAAATGTCCATGAATTTCTTCTTCAAGAAATTAAAAATTTTATTTGTGGACGCTGAAATTTGAATTTCATGTTATGTTCACAAGTCAGAAATATATATATATATATATATATATATATATATATTTTATTCTTTTCAACCATTTAAAAAATGTGAAAGCCATTATTCTGAATTCAGAGACTGTACAGAAACAGCCAGCCAGCTGGGTTTGACCCAGAGACTCCAATTGCTAACCCTTGCCCTGGACTGTCACCTCTGGCACCTCTGTACCCAGACGTGGTTGAAGCTCAGACAGGGAGAGCCAAGAGGCAGGATCGTGAGGTTTGTACAATGGGGCTGTCAGTTTTAGGAGGGCCCCGCCTTCAGGCCACTGCTCACCACGCTCCAGACCACCGGCGCCCCGGCCTTTTCCACCTTACCTTTAAAGTCAAACCACCACTTGAGGGACGGCTTTTGTGACGGGAAGAAGAACAAGATGGTGACAACGGACACGCCAGTGACAGCATCAGAAATAAACCTACAAGGACAAGGCCCCAAAGCATGTGACCCTGGGCATCTCAGCAGGCCAAGGTTTGGCAGCTTTGCAAATGAGGATTTGTGGAAGGGAATTAGGCCCACTGGGAAGGGGACGCTGTTGGAGGCCACCAATTGTGTTCTGTACTGCACTCGGCAGGGATGCGAACCGCCCGTGGATGCGAAAGCTCTTTATCCACAGCTCCCTGGGGTGTTTGGACTCTGCTGGAGCCAAACCAATGTTTATCCTCCCACTTCAAGGACCCTAGGAAGAGGGATTTGATCAAGGAGGGGAGAATCTTAGAGCCACAGAAGGCTGGAGTCTGTGGAACCCTTATGCATCACTGTAACCGGGATCCCTGTGAAGCCCTGAGTGTATTTGTTCAGCTCCTGTTTGCACTCTTCCTGGGGTGGGCAGCTTAGCACACAAAGATGCAACCCAGAGATGCAGCTCACACCGGCAGAGCCCAGATGGAGCCACCTCAGAGCCCCTCGAAACCTCACTGCCACCTTCTAAGAATCCACAGCGTGTCCTGTGGGGATATCAAGCCCATCAAAGTCTCAGAGACAGTCCTCGGGGGCAGGTATCTTCCCTTTCAAATAAGGAATCTGAGGCTCAGAGAACAGCAGCAACTTGCTCAGGGCCAGACCATGGTCTGTAGAAGAGATGACCTTGGACTCAGATATTTCTGGCTCTGAGTTCAGTGAAGCACAGAGCCAAGTGCCAACAAAAGCGCTTTCAGCCCACACATTTGGGGAGAAGGGTATTCAAATGGCCAAGAAACTGGGAAAGATGGTCAGTATCAATGTAATAGAGAAACAGATGAAAACACGTGCTAACAGACAAGTAAAATGTGAAAAGGGTGACAGTATCTAATGGGGATGTTGAGTAACACAGGCTATTGGTGGGAAAATAAACTTTCTGAAGGGGCAGCTGGCAGTACGTTTCAAAACTTTACGTGTGAATACCCCTTGATCTAGGAATTTATCTTCAGGGAATAATTGGGCTCTTATACACAGATTATGTACCGGGATGTTCATTACTGATAAGAGCAAAAAAACAAAGTGGGGGGCATTTTTAGTAGGGACATGGTTAAATAAATTGTGTATTATCATATATGTATAATGAAGTATCCCTTGCTTGTTAAAAAAAAAAGATAAAAAATAACATCAACTGTTATGTTTGACATGGAAATACAACTGAGATACCTTGTAAACTAAAAAAAAAAAGCAAGTTTTTTGGGACTTCCCTGGTGGTCCAGTGGTTAAGAATCCACCTGCAGGGGACACGTGTTCCATCCCAGTCCAGGAAGATCCCACATGTGGGGCAACTGAGCGCCCAATAGGTGCTCAGTAAAAGTTGACTGACTGGCTGACTAATCGAATGAATGAACGAACCACGTGCTCAGGGCTGCACAGTCTGTAGTGGCGGAACTGGCATTCGAACCCAGTTTTGTCTGATTCCAAAGGCAGAGCTCTTATCACGCGAGAACGCAGATGTCTTATCACCCAAACCTAAGCTCTTTTGGGAGCAAAAGAAGGAACTGGTAATAACCACACGGGATGAGAGGCGGAAACCTAGCCCAGCTCTCCCCAGCGGCACTGCCTCCCCAGCTCCGGGCGGCCCAGCCCCGAGGCTCCCCTGTTGGACTCCATCCCACGGGTCCCCAGAGTCTCACCCAGGGGTGAAGAGGCTGGCCCAGCCAGGGATGAACTTCGGGTCCCGGGAGAAGAGGAGGATGGCGAAGACGCAGAACAGGATGAACACGGCCTGTTCGGCAAACCTGCGACACAGAGATGTGACCACCACGGGGACCTTGGGCTTTGGCCTGACAGCAGCAAGGGAAGGCCCGGGGCGGCGGCCTGCCGGCGGTGACGGGGCCCAGGCTCTGCCTCTGAGAGCCGAAGCAGCAGTGGGGAGTACGGGTGTAAGGGGTTCCTTTCCTGGGGCTTCCACGATCCCCCAGCATCCTTCCTGAGCATCGGGCCTGCCTCCCTGCAAACTCTTCATATGATTCCCAGAGTCCTAGGGACACTCCAGAGAGAGAAAGAAAGTGAGACAGAGTCAGAAAAACAGAGAGGAAGGAAACTGACGGGAACAGAGAGGTAGGCAAGAGAGGAACAGTCATATATCCAGAATGGGGCAGATACGAGAGGGACGCACGTGGAAGGGGGGCAGACAGAGGCAGAAGAGAGGCTCCCCAGATGTTGGAGTAAAAATCTACCCAGTGAGCCCCTTTCACAGACCAGGAAGCAGGGCCCAGAGAGGGTTAGTGCTTTGCCCAAGGCCACCCAGGAAGTTAGTAGCAGAGTCAGACCTTGTGTGTGGGCCTGCTGACTCTTGGTTATTTTCACTTTAACATGCACTAAACAAGGTCCTGGGAGCCACCTGAGGCAGGGCCAGGTATCCCATGAACCAGGAGGGAAAGCAGGCATTAGGCAGGAAGGCGACACGTCCCCACTCCAAGTCCAGCCTGAGAGGTTTGCTGGTCCTCGGGGTATCGGCCCCGGTGCCAGGGCAAGAGGCTGACTGCGTTAGTCATCTCGCTACCTTCTGTCTCCAGGCTCCCAGGCTACTGGTCCTGAAATTCCCTCTGGACTCAGTCCCCAAGAGGTAGCTCTCCTGAAAGTCTAGTGCCCAGTTCTCTTCCCACCCCAAGCAAGGATCCCTGTGCCACGTACTTGGTCGGCCCCAGGCTCTGGAATTCCTCCCGAATTGTGTCTCGAGCCCTATTTTCTGCATCAGTTCTGAGCTCAGATTTCTTCTTCCTCCAGCCCCTGAAACAGAAAGCAGGAAAGTCAGGAGTGGCCATTGCAGCCTAAAACACTTCCGCTACCCACCTCCATCTGGCCAGGCCTCTTTGCCTCTGTTTTGGAGACTCCGTGACAGCCTGCTGGGTGGTAACCCTGCCTCTTTGTTCCCTTTCTAAAATCTGTTCTGCCCACCTACAGCCTGGATGGTCTTTTAAAAATGGGGATCTGATCATTTGGCTTCCAGGCTTAAAATCTTTTTTGGGTCAAACAGACTCAGGAATAAACCATACACACCAAGGAAATAAAATACAAAGTCCAGAAATGGACCCCACTATAAATGGGGATTTAGTCTATAATAAGGTTGGCGCCCCAGCTTGTTGTAGGAAAGATGACCTATTCAGTCAATGATGTGAGACATACAGATCAATGGACTCTAACAGAGCATCCAGAAATAAACCCACATTTCTCTGGTCAATTGATTTCTGATAAAAGTACCAACACCATTCAATGGAGAAAGAATACTCTTTCATCAAACGGTGTTAAGACGACTGGATGCATGTGTGCATGCTCAGTTGCTCGGTCATGTCTGACTCTTTTGAGGCCCCATGGACTACAGCCCACCAAGCTCCTCTGTCCAAGGGATTCTCCAGGCAAGAATACTTCACCACTGTGCTACCTGGGAAGCCCCAAGACAACTGGACAGCCAGATGCAAAAGGATGAACGTGGAACCTCCTACCTCTTGGTACATACAAAATTTAACTCAAAATGGTTCAAAGACTTAAATATAAGAAGAGCTAGACATATAAAATTTTTAAAAGAAAACATAGAGAAAAATTCTCATGGCCTCAGATTAGGCACATATTTCTTGGATATGACACAAAAATCACAAGCAAACAAAAATAAATTGACTTCATTAAAATTAAAAACATTTGTGTGTCAGGAAAAGGCATTGAGACAACTTGATAGTTATCTGGAACAAAAAAAATACTGACTCCAAACCTGTACCCCAAAGTTGCATCCTTACACTGTACCCTAAAGGACAAGCTCCAAATAGATGAAAAGATTTAAATGGAAAAAATACAAAAATACTAGAAGAAAACATGGGACTGTTATTTCATATCTCCTATAATGGGAAGGAAGACCTTTCTAACTGCAATTGAAAATTCAGAAGCCACATGAGAAAAAATTGATAATTTCACCTCATAAAATGTTTCTAAAAATTTCTGCACAGAAGAAAGCATGATAAGCAAAGTGAAAAATCAGGGGGGAAAGTTGCAACTCACACTCAAAATAAGCACTAATCTTTCAATATGGAGAGAATACTAGAAATCAATACAACCAAGACCAGCAATCAAGTTTTTAAATGCACAAAGGATATAAACACACAGTTTAACAATTCACAGGAGAGGAAATACCAGGGTCTCCCATGAATATGTGAAAAGTTTTCATCTTATCCCTGAGTGTGAAAGGTTCTTCAAAATTACTCCTAAAGTAAATGCAAATTATTTTTCTCTTATCAGATTGGCAAAAATCTACCTTGCTGCACAGAAACAGAGGCTCTCATATATTGTATTTATTTTTTATTTTTTTGGCCACACCATAGAGCATGCAGGATCATAGTTCCCTAATCTGGAATTGAACCCAGGCCCTGCATACTGGGAGCACAGGGTCTTAACCACTGAACCACCAGAGAAGTCCCTTATATATTGTAAGTGGGGGAATGTGTGTGCTTCGTCGCTCAGTCGTGTCTGACTCTTGGCGACCCCGTGGACTGCAGCCCACCGGGCTCCTCTGTCCATGAGGATTTCCCAGACAAGAACACTGGAGTGGGGTGCCTCCAGGCAGCTGGTTCCATCTCCAGGGATCTTCCCAACCCAGGGATCAAACCCATGTCTCCTACTTGGCAGGTGGATCCTTTTCCACTGAAAGTGAAAGTCGCTCAGTCGTGTCCAACTCTTTGCAACCCCAGGGACTATACAGTCCATGGAATTCTCCAGGCCAGAATACTGGAGTGGGCAGCCTTTCCCTTCTCCATGGGATCTTCCCAACCCAGGGATCGAACCCAGGTCTCCCGCATTGCAGGTGGACTCTTTACTAACTGAGTGATCAGGGAAGTTGTATTCCACTGAGCCACCCAGGGAACCCAGGCTTCATTTTTATCCCCTCTCTACTAGTGAAAAAATTAAAGAGGTAAAGCCTCAGGGAGGGGACAGAGTTGCTCGAGGTCACGCAGAACCATGATGTGAACTCTGATTTATCTGAGTCCAGTGTCTGGGATTGCTTCTCTGGGCTAAGCCGGGCTTTGAACCCCAAATTTCTGCTCTGATGGGTCAAGAAATACCACAGTCAGAGCTTTTCTATTCTCAAGGGGTTTTCATATCTCTTTGATCTAGAATAGCTCTTACTGGTCCCATTTTACAGATGAGAAAAATTAAGACCCACAGAGGTGAGGGGACTGAGTCAGAGAATGACTTTATATCATGCCTGCTACTCCAGCCCTGAGCGGTAGCTCCTATGTTAGTATTTCCCAAAACCCACACATTCATAAAGGAAATCAGTCCTGAATATTCATTGGAAGAACTGATGCTGAAGCTGAAACTCCAATACTTTGGCCACCTGCTGTGAAGAACTGACTCATTTGAAAAAACTCTGATGCTGGGAAAGATTGAAGGCAGGAGGAGAAGGGGACGACAGAGGATGAGATGGTTGGATGGCATCACCAACTCAATGGACATGAGTTTGAGTAAACTCTGGGAATTGGTGATGGACCGGGAGGCCTGGCGTGCTGCAGTCCATGGGGTCGCAAAAAGTTGGACACGACTGAGCGACTGAACTGAACTGAACTGACACATTCACAGCTCCCTTCACAAAAGTTCCTATGTCCACGTACCATGGGCTCCAATTAGATTTAGCATTTTAACTAAAGGCAGATATTTAAATAGAAAGCTTTCTATCACTCCCATATAGCAAATAAGAATCACTTGTCATACATAGAAAGTACCCACAAAAATAAAGACATGAAAGCAAAGCAACATTATTACATTTGGCTGGATACCACTGCTGACTTAAGTCTCTGGACTTGAGGCTTGCTCTTCCTTTTTTAAAAGGATGATTTGGAAATGCTAGAGAGGTGTTAAAGTTTTTCCCCACCTTACTGAGACTTTCTCCCCAACATAAGCAGCGTTGATAGAGGAATATTTTTCTCACTATCGGAGTCAGTGTTATCTGATACCTTGTCCTCAGGCTGCCCCAAATTACCTCCTGTACTGAGGCCCCGTGAAATGAGAAACACTGCACATCTCCTGTGGTGTGAGTGGGGACCTAACTTAAGGAACAATACGATTAGTGATTATTGATGATGGGTGACATTCACCCAGGGCCTGGGCTCAGCAGGCAAGATCCCACCCCACCTGTAATCCCCACTCCCTGGGAGGCCGGGACGACTACCAGCACCACATCCGACTGGAAACTGGAAGGACTTTGGAAGGTCACTCACTAGGGAGTGGGAAGCTGGGACTCCAGCCTGGTTCCGTCTGCCGCAAAGCTCAAGTTAAATGCCCGGGTACCTCAGGGTTATCCCTCCATAGAGGAAGGAGATCCAGAGCCAGCCCACCAACAGGAACAGGAGCATGAGAGGAAAGGCGAAGATGAACCAGGAGCCGAAGTTCACCACGTCGCACTGTGGGAAGAAACTGGAGAAAAGAGGAGGTGAGAGCCCGCCACCATCAGGCGGACGGATGGACGCACACACACCTACAGAGGAAAACTAAAGGGAGTGTGCTCGGGACTCACAGTGGGACTGAAGCGCTTCCGATTCCACCCCCCCGTATTTTCTGAGTAATATATTGGGTTGACCAAAAAGTTCATTCCATTTTTTTATGGTCTGGAAAAAAAAAAACCCCAAACGAACTTTTTGGCCAACCCAATATAAAGTTCCTATATCAGGTGTGATCAGAATAAACCAATACAATGTATCTGGGGAGCAAAAACCAAGGTGAACACTCAGGGCAGCCATTTCCCTGTCTCCCCAGGTGCCCTGCTGGAAAATCAGAACCTCATATAAACCTCATATTCCTTTCAAATACCTTCCTACCCGACAAGAAGGTCCAGGCTTAAGCAATTAAACATTGTATACGTTTTGCATGTAATTTGCATGCCCTTTACTCAAAATCCTTCATGTTGGATACTTTTACTTAAAGTTCCAGCATCTTCCCCCTAATCTCTTTTCAAGGCTTGCTCACATCAGAGCGAATAGGCAGCCTGAAAACCGTCTGACAGCAAATGCCCTCCCATGTCCCCCACCCCCCAACTCAGGACTAGCCCCCGAGGGCTCCAGAGCCCCCATCTTCCCTGTCCATCCCTGTGGACAGCCTCCAGCAAGAACTAACACCGGACACCCCGCTTTGTCCTCTCGGCCGACTGCCCGTTTGCTGGCACTTCCTGCTAACTGAGGAGACAAACAGGGCACCCCGGTTGGTCCCCACATCTGAAGCAGAACCATCCTGGCTTCTGGTTTTCAGTCTCACAGCCAGGCCTTGCTCAAAGAATGGAGACGAAAAGACACCAAAGGTTTGCAATGGGGGCTGAAATCAACTGGGAAGAGACCAGTGCCTGGTCCCCATGCCCAACCTCCGAAATCAGCATCTCTGCAGCTGAGACCCAAGCATGTTTTTTTCCACCTTCCCTGGAGACTATAAAACATGCCCATGGCTGAGAATCACTGTTCTTTATGTAATCTTAAAATCAAAGGATTTGAGAATCTGAGAACAGGGTGGAGAGTTAAGGTTTTAAAATCAGCTTATGAGGTAAGACATGGATGTACTTAAGTTTTCTCAAGAAAATAACTTTGATTATCCACAAGTATAGAACTGACTTATATACACCAAACCCATTCTCAGGAAGACCAATGCAGTTAGCTTTTCCTCCATCATCCCTGTAAATCCTTCATTTTTTGGTTGAATACCAGATAAAGACGTTGGCCAGCACATGGAGCCATGTTGAATATCAGATAATTTTGTTGCTGTTTGTCAAATGCTTACATTCGGATTCATGTGGATTAATTTAATATATGGCACATCTCCACGGTAACAAAATCTTAGAAACCCCACCTCTCAGAATCCTGGAATCTGAAAATACTCAGAATCTTGAAATACAAAGATTTTTAACATCTTCAGACTAAGGGGTTTGGAAAAATGGAATTGATGTCAAACCACCGGAGAATCCATCACTTTGATTCTTATGCCCTGACAAATGGTCACGCAACCTCTGTTTGAACAGTTTCAGTGATGGGGGGATTTTACCTGGCAGCGTCCACTACACTGCTGGTCCATGTGCCTGGCTGTAAGGCTTCTCACGGGACATCACAGCCACACACCGGTGCCTCCCACTGGGGTTGGTTTCAGGAGATGTCATGTCATGTCACCCCTCTGCTCTCAGCTCTCCTCTGATTCTCCTGACAGTGACTGCCCTGGTCTTCTTACCTAATTCCCTCTGCACCCCAGCCTGGCCAGTCTTTGTGCTGCTTCCCACCTTTGTACGGGCTGTTCCTTCTGTCTGGGATGCTCTTCCCTCCTGCGTCCACAAAGTTCACCCCGTCACTTCTAGGTCTCTGCTCAAATGCCACCATATTAGAGGGGTGCACAATACCGACCAACCTAGATAAAACAGCACCCACTCCTGTTACCTCTGCCCCCTTCTTCTGCCCGATTTTATTTCATAACGTATCACGCCAACATATTATATATTCTCTTGCTTTTTCCTTTATTGTTTGTCTCCCCCATCAGAATGGAAGTTCCCCAGAGCAGGGATTTTGCTGGGTTTTGTGCATCGCTGGGTCCCCAGAGCCTGGACAATGGTAGACACCCAAGACATATCCCTGGATGTTGGGTGAAGGAAGAGGAGAGGAGAAGAAGAGGCAGAAACCCCAGCGCCAGGGATGGGGAGCACGCGCTCTTACCTCTTGAGCTGGCCGAGCAGGATGAGGTTGGGGGCTGTGCCCGTGAGGGTGGCAGTGCCCCCGATGCTGGCCGAGTAGGGGATGGAGATGAGGAAGCCCTTCCAGATGTTCCTGCGATATTCCTCCTCCTTCTTGGAGGTAGGCTGGAGATCCATTGGAGCCTCTGCCTCCTCAGGGCAGTCTTTGCTTTAAATAAACCCAAAGAGAAGCCATTCAGAATTCCTGGCCTTGTGGAGAAACACACTGCCCGGGATGGGAGAGCTAAGTGAACTTTCTAGAAGGCAATTGGCATAGGAACCAAACACTTCTAAAAATGTGCAACCCTTCAGCTTAAGCATTCTACTCTAAGAAATTGTCCTAACCTAGTACTTGGTATTAAATAGAACTTAAATGGAAAATTTAATTTAAATATCCATCAAAAAACGATTGGCTAGATTAAGACGATCCTGTTGCTGGATGGAATACCAAAGCAGTTATTAAAAATGGTGATTTATATGGGTATTTATTCAGATGAAATATGCCCATTATATAAAGTGAAAAGGTAGGTAACAGCACTACTTACTTCTTTTATTTTAAAAATATACACATAATTCATGAATATATGAGTATTAAGAAAAGTCTAGAATGGTATACACAAAGCTGCTTTGGGGACTTTCGCAGGGATGGAATTATGGATTTTTTTCCCCTCTTTTACTTTTTATTTGTATTTTCTGGGTTATTTTCCTGGTACCTTTGGGTAGTTTGGGAAATAATAAAGTTAAAAATTGTTAATTATATAATTAAAAGGTAATGATGCTGACACAAATTTATTGAGGTGAAAAGACATCCACTACACTCAACTAGCTGAGATGATAGGTTATAAAATGGCCTATGTAGCATGGTCAGTTATTTTGTTAAAAACACACACATATGCACACACACAAACACACACACATATATATAGATAAATGGTCTAGAATAGTATTCACTTAACTCTTCTAATCTATCTTTGGGACTGAGGTGCTGAGTACATTTTTCTTTTTGTTTAAGAGTTCTTTTTCTTTTTACTTGTGCAATTATAAAATGTTTATTAGTGGATGAAATTAAGAATTGTCTTTGTGTAACAAATCAATTATTTTAAAAAGAATGTAAGACACTTCAAATATCTTGGGGCCTTAATTACTAACATGAAGGGCCCCTTCTCCAGTGGGTAGTGGGGATGTGACCTGGGGTCTAAAAGGAAGAGAAGGGCTGGAAGCAGCTGGAGACAGAGGCCATGGCCTGATGATCCAGAGTGAGAGGCCCGGTCAGACACCTGTGGGCTCCCTCGGACCTGGGGCTCCAACCAGACTGAGCCTCACAGGAGAATAAGAGCAGAAAGGGCTCTTGTGCACCCCCTTCCTTGTTTGGATGGAAAACTGAGGCCCAGAGTAGGGCTTGAAGAAAGTAGGGAAAACCACTGGACCACTCAGGTATGACCTAAATCAAATCCCTTCCGATTATACAGTGGAAGTGGCAAATAGATTCAAGGGATTAGATCTGATAGACAGAATGCCTGAAGAACTATGGATGGAGATTCATGACATTGTACAGGAGGCAGTGATCAAGACCATCCCCAAGAAAAAGAAATGCAAAAGGCAAAATCATTGTCTGAGGAGGCCTTACAAATAGCTGTGAAAAGAAGAGAAGCTAAAGGCAAAGGAGAAAAGGAAAGATAAATACAGGGTTCTTCTGAATACAGGGTTCCAAAGAACAGCAAGGAGGGATAAGAAAGCCTTCCTCAGTGATCAGTGTAAAGAAATAGAGGAAAACAATAGAATGGGAAAGACTAGAGATCTCTTCAAGAAAATTAGAGCTATCAAGGGAACATTTCATGCAAAGATGGGCACAATAAAGGACAGAAACATTATGGACCTAACAGAAGCAGAAGATATTAAGAAGAGGTGGCAAGAATACACATAAGAACTATGCAGAAAAGATCTTCATGACCCAGATCATCACGATGGTGTGATCACTCACCTAGAGTCAGACATCTGAGAATCCGAAGTCAAGTGGGCCTTAGGAAGCATCACTGCGAACAAAGCTAGTGGAGGTGATGGAACTCCAGCTGAGCTATTTCAAATTCTAAAAAATGATGCTATGAAAGTGCTGCACTCAATATGCCAGCAAATTTGGAAAACTCAGCAGTGGCCACAGGACTGGAAAGGTCAGTTTTCATTCCAATCCCTAAGAAAGGCAATGCCAAAGAATGCTCAACTACCACACAATGGCACTCATCTCACATGCTAGCAAAGTAATGCTCAAAATTCTCCAAGACAGGCTTCAACAATATATGAACCAACAACTTCCAGATGTTCAAGCTGGATTTAGAAAAGGCAGGGGCACCAGAGGTAAAATTGCCAACATCCATTGGATCATAGAAGAAGCAAGAGAGTTCCAAAAAAATACCTACTTCTGCTTTATTGACTATGCCAAAGCCTTTGACTGTGTGGATCACAACAAACTGTGGAAAATTCTTCAACAGATGGGAATACCAGACCAGCTTACCTGCCTCCTGAGAAATCTGTGTGCAGGTCAAGAAGCAACAGTTAAAACTGGACATGCAACAACGGACTGGCTCCAAATTGGGAAAGGAGTACGTCAAGGCTGTATATTGTCACCCTGTTTATTTAACATCTATGCAGAGTACATCATGCAAAATGCCGGGCTGGGTGAAGCACGAACTGGAATCAAGATCGCTGGGAGAAATATAAATAACCTCAGATATGCAGATGGCACCGCCCTTATGGCAGAAAGTGAAGAAGAACTAAAGAGTCTCTTGATGAAAGTGAAAGAGGAGAGTGAATAAGTTGGCTTAAAAGTCAATTTCAGAAAACTAAGATCATGGCATCTGGTCCCATCACTTTATGGCAAATAGATGGGGCAACAGTGGAAACAGTGGCTGACTTTACTTTTTTGGGCTCCAAAATCACTGCAGATGGTGACTGCAGCCACGAAATTAAAAGATACTTACTCCTTGGAAGGAAAGTTATGACCAACCTAGACAGCATATTAAAAAGCAGAGATGTTACTTTGCCAACAAAGGTCCATCTGGTCAAGGCTATGGTTTTTCCAGTGGTCATGTACGGATGTGAGAGTTGGACTATAAAGAAAGCTGAGCACTGAAGGATTGATGCTTTTGAACTGTGGTGTGGAGAAGACTCTTGAGAGTCCCTTGGACTGCAGGGAGATCCAACCAGTCCATCCTAAAGGAGATCAGTCCTGGGTGTTCATTGGAAGGACTGACGTTGAAGCTGAAACTCCAATACTTTGGCCACCTCATGCAAAGAACTGACTCATTTGAAAAGACCCTGCTGCTGAGAAAGATTAAAGACAGCAGGAGAAGGGGATGACAGAGGATGAGATGGTTGGATGGCATCACTGACTCGATGAACATGAGTTTGAGCAAGCTCTGAGAGTTGGTGATGGACAGGGAAGCCTGGTATGCTGCAATCCACAGGGTCGCAAGCAATCAGACATGACTGAGCAACTGAACTGAAATGAACTGAGAGTGGGGCTGGGGTCTGCAACCAACGGACACGGAGCTCCAGAGGGTAGGGATTGATTCTTTTCCAACAGACTCAGCAGAAGCTCTGCCTGGGTGGATGGTTAAAACAGATTCCCAGGTTGCAAGGTGGTGAGTGGCGGGGCCAACTACAGAACCTGTATCTCAAAGGTGGACTCAAAGCCCCCAAACATGGTGCCAGGAAGGAGCACAGGCCTCAGGATAAGACAAACTGATGTAAAACCATGTCCCTATCTGCTAGACACTCCATCAGTTCCCATCTCATTCAAAGTCAAAACTACATCAATGGCCTGTGGGGTCCCACATGCCCTGTCCCCCACCAGTGCCCTCCTGCCACACAAGCAATCTCCATGACCCCACCTCCAGCCACACTAGCTTCCCGGCTGCCTTGAACTCTCAGGGCTTTGTACCTGCTGGCCCCTCTGCTAAGAATACTCTTCCCACAGACTCCCCAGGACCCTTCACCTCTCCCAGGTGTTTGCCCGAGAATGATCTTAGTGAGGTCTTCCCTGACACATTTAAATACTGCCCTCTCCCTCCCCCAGCCCCCTCCCCAGCCTGATTTCCTGCTTTGTTCTCCTGTGCATTGCCGTGTGCCTGACAGTACCTGGCTCATGGTAAGTTCTCCATAAATTTGCTGAATGAAGGAAGCAGACCTGACTGATGCCCAGCAATGATGCCTTGAGCAAGTCACTTTACTCCCTGCTGTTTGCCTCATCATCATGAAACTGAGATAACGATACCATTAATAACAAGCATTACCATCTGTGCATGGAAGGCCTAACAACTGGCTTTATCTACATGATCTCATTTAATCTCAAAAACAACCCTCAAAAAGAACCCAGGTGGGTTTCTGACATCATGGTAGGTGAAACTGAGTTTCAGAGAGGGGGAGTGATGTGTGCAAATCAACAGAGCCGGTAAGTGGCAAAGCCAGGGTTCAAAGTCAAGTCTGCTTGACCCCAAGCACCCAGGTCTTATATCCTCGCTGCTGTATACAAAAGACACCAAAGACTAACTACGTCGTCAGTGTCCAGACGCTTCCTGAGTCACACAGGTGTGAAGGGCTGCTACTGTCTCGGGATCTTTTGTCTGCAGACAAAGCTTTAGCTTGGCCTGGTACACCATCTCCTCCTTGATGGTCATGTGGTCTGCGCCTCCTGCTCTTCTGGTCCCTCCTTCCAGACCCTTCACCTCAGCAGACTTTAGGGGTTTACTGTACTCCCCTGCTCATCCCACATTTTCTCTTTTCAAGGGAGTTGGAGCTCAGGGAGAAGAGGTGGAAACTTGGGCATCGGGTCATTGGGAGAAGAATTGGGGGGTGGGGATTGCCTGCAGCATGGAATTCTTGTTCATCCTCTCCTTGGATCAAGCATGGGCTCCTCTGTGAATTCCACCAGGAAAACTCACTCTTCTGTGCTGGCAATGAATTGCATCTCCGTGGGCACAGTGTGCAGGCCGTTTTTCCGCACAGCAGCTAGGAGGAAAGAGCATGAGGTCTTTAGTGGGATGTAGCAGGTGGGACAGAAGCGTCCCCTTCTTGTGCAGTCAATCAAGAGTACTTCCTCAGGTCCCGGCCTAGACTAGTCATTGGGTTTCAAAAAAAAAAAAAAAGACTCAAAATTCCATCCTTCTACCCCACCTGTTCCTATTAGGAGAGGGCTTCAGGCCTGTGGGCAGGAAGTTAGCTGCAAGGCAGCTGGACAAGTCATAACTCAAGCCTAGGCTAACCTCAACTGTCACTGTCAAGGGGATGTTTGGGAAAGACCAGCTATGAGTGGTAATGGATCAGCAACAGGATGGGTGACCCCAATCTGCCACTCATTCAAAATGCATTTATTGAGCACCTAGTATGTACTATTGACCATCAGCTTGGGGTACACAGTGAATAATATAGGACAATGTCCTTGCTACCATGAAAGCTCTGTTCTAGAGAGGATGACTGACAATAATCAAAGAAAGAAAACTTCAGTTTGTGATGAAAGTGGTGGAGGAAGTAAACCTGGGCACAGCGATGGAAAGTGACTGCAGAGTAGGGAGGAGGAGCAGGTAGACTTGTGATCAGGTCAACGGAGGAGACGTATGAGCTGATGGCGTTGGAGCTGAGACCTCAAGGATTAAAAGGAGTCAATCACATGAAGAGTTGTGGGAAGAGGGGCTGGAGTAACGGAACAGCAAGTAGAAAGGCCCTGAGGAGAGAGTGTGTCTGGTGTGTTGGGAAGCAGAAGGAAGACCCATGGAGCTGGAGGGGCCTGATGGAGAGGGAGGCTAGGAGGAGGTGAGGTGGGAGACGGGGCAGGGGCTGGGGTGGCAGGAAGCAGCCTGGATCACACACAGGTCTTGGGGCTCACAGTAAGGATTTTAGGTTCTCCTCTGAGCCAGCTGGGAGTGGAGCCAGGGGAGAGTTTGAGCAGAGGAGTGTCAGATAAGGATATGACTTCATTTCTCAAGAATCCCGTGCTTGACAGGTCAGTCTCCCCACAGGAGAAAACTGAAGAGATTAAAATTTCCTGCAGCCAAAACCATCACCAAGAGCAAAAGAATCCATCCCTGGGCATTGGAAGTGTGATTAATAACTGAACACATGGGTTCAGGGGTCAAGTCTCCATCAGTTGCTTTGCGACCTTAGATCAATGTGGTTCTCAGCTGGGGTTGATTCTGCCTCCAAGGGACATTGGACAATGCCTGGAGACGTTTTTGGTTGTCAGAATTGAGATGAAGGTGGGGGGATGCTACTGGTCAGAGGTCGGGGATGCTGCCAAACATCTTGTAGTACATGAGTCAGCCCCCACAAGCAAGAATTTTCCCACCTAATTTGTCAAATAGTGCCAAAGTTAAGAAACTGGCTTAGATAAATCCCTTAATCGCCTTGAACTTCTTTAATCCATAAAATGGAAGTAATAACTCCCCTGGGGTCATCAAGAGGATTACAGAGTTGATTTATTTGCTATAGACAGAATATTTTCATTCCCTGCCCCCCCAAATTCAAATGTTGAAACCTAACCCCCAGTGTGATGGTGTTAAGAGGTAGTGCTTTGGGAGGTGTCTAGGTCATGAGGGTGGAGCCTTCACGAATGGGATTAGTGCCCTTATAAAAGACCTCAGAGAACTCCCTTGCCACTTCTACCATGTGAGGACACAGCCAGATGACAGCCAGGCTGTCTGTGAACCAGGAAACAGGCTCCCAACAGATGCCAGATCTGCTGGTGCCTTGATCTTGGACTTTGCAGCCTCCAGAATGGGGAGAAATAAATACTCAGCCTGTGGTGTTTTTGTTGTAGCAGACTGAACAACTGAAACACCATTTAAAGCAAGGACCGGCAAACTTCTTCTGCAGAAGGCCAGACAGTAAATATTTTCAGCTTTGGAGGCCATATGATGTCTGTTGTCACTACTCAAATCTGCCATGGTATCATGAAAGCAGCTCTAGATAATACAGAAATGAATAAGTGTGACTAAACCTTTATTTTTGGACACTGAAAATTTCATATAATCTTCACATGGCATACAATCTTCTGCTTGATTTATACAACTATTTAAAAACATAAGAGCTATGCTTAGCTCACAGGCTAGATGAAAAACAGGTGGCAGGCTAATTTGGTGCACCCAAGTTTGCCAGCCCCTGAATTTAAAAATTCAGGAATCAGAGCACTAGTGAGGATTCAGGAAATGTGGGTTACTATTAAGAAAGTACAGGAAAGTGGCCCCTGGAGTCTGAAACTGGTCTGACCCAGATACGACACATCATTCTCTTGGACCTAAATAATCTTATACATCACTGACTCCAGACAGTCACACTGATAAAAACAGCCGGGGCAAGGACACTGTAACCTCGTTTAGGCACAAAGCTACTTGCCACCCACAAAATACCAAGCATCCCCTTCTCTTGCTAAAGAAACGGCTACTTCTTACCTAATCACAGAATTGTCCCCAGGTTTCTTTTTTTTCTGTCTGCTTTGTTTTTGGCTGAGCTGGGTCATCCTTGCAGCGCATGGGCTAAGTTGTCCTGCTGCATGAAGATCTTAGTTCCCGACCAGGGATCGAACCTGTATGTCCAGTATTGCAGGGTGGATTCTTAGCCATGGGACCACCAGTTTCTGACAGCACCCAACCTGAAGCAAACCCTGCCTCCTTAGGTCCCCACCCCCACCCCAAATGCCCCAACCAAAGTCCGAATAGTGAGAGGTGCTTTCTAATATCTCTGAGTCCTTTGTCATTGCCCGTGGTGTGTGTTTTTCCTCACTGCAGCAACGATAACAAACTCAGCCTGTTTAACTACAAATGCACTTTGCCCACTTTGAACACATGGAGGAAGGGTCTAGACTCCAGCTCTGGCCCTTTCCCTGTCTCACCCCAGGGGCCTGGGGAAGTCTCTTCCCTTCTCCACTTTGGGCTGTTCTTTTCCTGCTGGTACCATGAGGGAGCAGGGCTCCACGGTGGCTGACTCTGTCATTTTTACTGCACCGGAAGCCGGGGTCTGAAGGCTAACTTCAGATCGTCTCACCCTGGGCCATGGGGACAAGGGCCTCAGCACTCCCGTGGTGGGAGCTCACGTTCAAACGCAACGCCCAAGGCTGGAGGCCAGGGCACTAAAGCAGGACGTGAAGGGTTGCTCACAGGACACTGATGCTGTTGGGGGGCGGGGGGAGGGATGCAGAGTCACTCCCTGGGGGCTGGCCAGACAGGGAGAACTCTGACCCAGGGACTCCCAGCCGCCATCCACCTCTCGCTCACCCTGTACTCTTCTTGCTCGTTCAGGAACGACTGTTCCGCAGCATCAGATACTTGCAAAGCTCACCAGCATCTCAGGTATAACCACAGCCCACCCTCCTCAGCCCTGGATGAACATTAGAATGTCCTGAGAAAGCCCAGGCCCCACTCCAGAGGTTCTGGTTTAGAGGCTCTGGGGCCTCAGTATTTTTCAAAAGCTCTACAGGAGGTTCTATTGTGCAGCCAGGATTGAGAAGGCATCCCTGAAGTTAGACATACGGAACTGATGTCTTCAGGGGCTGCCCATGACCCTACGGGGGTCGGGGGGGCAGTGGGGCGGTGTGCTCACCAGTTTGCCCCAGTCCCCACCTGGCCCCTTTTCTCATCCCTGGAACCTGGTCGCTGCCAGCATCAGATCTGGAGAGCCCGATATAAAACCCGAGGGCTGCAGACAGGCCATGCATGCATGCTGTCGCTCAGTCGTGTCACACTCTCTGCGACCCCACGGACTGTGGCCAGCCAGGCTCCTCTGTCCATGGGGTTCTCCAGGCAAGAACACTGGAGCAGGTTGCCATTTTCTCCTCCAGGGGATCTTCCTGACCCAGGGATCGAAACTGGGTCTCCTGCATTGCAGGCAGATTCTTTACCATCTGTGCCACCAGGGAAGCCCATAGACAAAGCAGAGGATGCTATTTGTGCGCACACACACACACACACACACACACACAACTGTAAACAGTAGTTATTGGTAGCAATTAAGATTAGGAAGGAGGGAGTTCACTTTTTCTTTATGCAAATTAGTTCCATTTAATTAGTAATGTGAAACAATTTGATACTGAGTATTATTTCTCTCTTAACACAGCCTTTGACTGTGTGGATCACAAAAAACTGTGGAAAATTCTGAACGAGATGGGAATACCAGACCACCTGACCTGCCTTTTGAGAAACCTGTATGCAGGTCAGGAAGCAACAGTTAAACTGGACATGGAACAACAGACTGGTTTCAAATAGGAAAAGGAGTACGTCAAGGCTGTATATTGTCACCCTGCTTATTTAACTTATATGCAGAGTACATCATGAGAAACGCTGGGCTGGAAGAAGCACAAGCTGGAATCAAGATTGACGGGAGAAATATTAACAATCTCAGATATGCAGATGACACCACCCTTATGGCAAAAAGTGAAGAAGAACTAAAGAGCTTCTTGATGAAAGTGAAAGAGGAGAGTGAAAAAGTTGGCTTAAAGATCAACATTCAGAAAACTAAGATCATGGCATCCGGTCCCATCACTTCATGGCAAATAGATGGGGCAACAGTGGACACAGTGGCTGGCTTTATTTTTCTGGGCTCCAAAATCACTGCAGATGGTGATTGCAGCCATGAAATTAAAAGATGCTTACTCCTTGGAAGAAAAGTTATGACCAACCTAGACAGCATGTTAAAAAAACAAAGACATTACTTTGCCAACAAAGGTCTGTCTAGTCAAGGCTATGGTTTTTCCAGTGGTCATGTATGGATGTGAGAGTTGGACTATAAAGAAAGCTGAATGCAGAAGAATTGATGCTTTTGAACTGTGGTGTTGGAGAAGACTCTTGAGAGTCCCTTGGACTGCATGGAGATCCAATCAGTCCATCCTGAAGATTAGTCCTGGGTGTTCATTGCTAGGATTGATGTTGATGCTGAAACTCCAATACTTTGGCCACCTGATGTGAAGAGCTGACTCATTTGAAAAGACCCCGATGCTGGGAAAGATTGAGGGCAGGAGGAGA